CCTCTATCAGAGGGGCCGAGGGCAGCGGGGCCAGGCGCTCCACCTCTCCCTTGTTGGGCACCGGCACAGAGAGCTTGAACCCTGCACCTCATTTCCCACACTGACACCAAGGGAGGCAGCTTCTCTAACACACTCAAGGGCCCCTGGTACTAGACTGCTCCACTCAGGGCTCACAGTTCTCAAAAGGCCCTCGAACCATCTTCCCCTCTCTTCTGCGCTTCACCTCCTCCTGGCCTCCACTCTGCACCCAGGCGCACTGCCTCTTAAGGGACAGCTGCTGAAATGGATGTGAGGAGTCCTCAGAAGAAACCCTGGTCCCAGGATCCCCGTTCCTTTCTTACTGAACATCCCACTACGCGAATCCTTGTACAGACATTATGACTTGAAAAACCTTTGCTACTGTGCAAATTCATTAGGCTATTATTTTGTAAACACCCAGAAGCAAATTAGCTTTGCTACAGTGGAGGAGATAGCAGGCTCATTAAGGAAGGGTGTCACAGCAGCCACCGACCCCAGGACTGGGCGGGGCACAGAGAATAAATGCGGCCTCGCTCTGGGCCTCAACTGGAAGGCGGCCATTAGACCAGGCACTGTCCACGTGTCATACCAGCAAGGAGAGGTTCCAGGTAGGCGCTCTTCCCAGGAAGGGGCTTCAGGACATGGTTTAAACACATTAGAATGAATAATTCCGGACACAACAGCCTGAGTCAGAAAAATCCAGATCTGACGTCTACCACTCCTCTTGAAGTCCTATGGTCCTACTCTCTTCGACTTATCCAAGAACAGAAAACCTCACCGCAAGTTCCGTGAGCATCAGTGATGAGTTCACGGTCAGTGCTCACAGCTTCGTGGACTCTACCGGGAGAGCAGGTAGTTGGAGAGTCCTCCTAGTCACCACAGAGAAGATTTAACAAGTAAAAACCTGCAAACTCTTTATTAAATTCTCCCATTTCATCTGTACAGAAAAAAAAAGCACATTATGTTCAGAATCTCAGAAACATCTCAAAATTACACAGCATGAACATGTAAAAACAAGGAACTGCAGGGAATTTATACACAGAAAGGAAAACCATTTACAAAAAAGGCTTGTTAATTTTACTTTTTTCTTTCTTAAAAAAAAAGTAAAAGGCCCAAGATCTCACACAGCACTTGCTGCACAGTCTGTCTTCCTGCTCGGGCTGACCTGGGAACTGTGCTGGGAGACGCCGCCCCGTCCAGGGCACTGCGGTCTGACCAGGGGCCTGCTCGGGCCACCCAGCATGCATGGCACAGGGCCTGCTGGGCTCTGGGGCCACGTGCCAACTCTGCATTCAGGGGAGGGGGAAGGGAGGCAAAAACAGAATACAGAGGCACTATCTGAATTTCCTCCTTGCCCAGGGAGATTTTGCCACTGTATGGATCCCAATATCCCTACCTATGTGTCACGGTGGACTTTGGGAAGGGGGAAGGAGGAAAGCACCGCCGGGACCCTGTCACCACCAGCCCTAGCAGACTACCCTGCCTTTGTGCTCCATATGCAAACAGTCGCTGGGTCCCCACAGTGATCTCATTAGAAGGGGTGGGGGAACCCGTCACCCTGAAGAGTCGGTCTGAGTTTGCTAATGACCTCTATGCTGTCTGAGGTCGGCAGGAGGGGGGATTCAGCTTCAGACGAGACTGTCCTAGCGTGATTCCTGGCTGCCCTGGGGGGCGAGGAGGAGGACTGAGAGCACTGCCGACAGACGGGGGGCCACCTGGACAGACAGGGGGCCAACCGAGGCAGATGAAAGAGGGAGGGAGGCAGACCAAAACACCAGCCCTGGCGCCGTGCCTCTGGGAACCAAAGACCCCTGGGGAGGTGAGGACTGTCCCTAAAAGCCCAGGAGAAACTTGGGGCACCTGAGTGCCATTTTATAAAACTACTTTGATGCTGTCCAAATGGTGAGAAATAAAAGGGATCTTTGAGGTTTTTCAAATACGATCTTTGAGGTTGTTTCATTTTATAAGAATCTGAAATACAAGTAAATATACCAAAATGCACATAATTCAAAAGCCATCTTCTTTTTGTTCTATGCCAAAATTTAGGTTGAATGTGTCAGGCTGGGCTGGCTGGCTTCTAAGGGTTCCTATTCTGGCTTTCTTCTCCATATATGCTTACTTAGCAGGAGTTATATGTAAAGAATGTTTGTTTGTTTATTTTTTGGTGAGGGAGGGAAAGAAATGGGAAGTGAAGGCCTCTTCTCAGAGAAACTTGAGGTCAGCTAAAAAAGAAGGCCCCGTGTAACAATCTACCCTTCCCTGACACATCACTATCGAAGGGAGCCAGAAGCAGTACCACAGCCGGGGGCGGGGCGGGGCGGGGTGGGGCGAGTTGGGACAGAGGGGGTTGGGGGGGCTGCGACATTCCCAGAGGTCACACAGGTATTTGAGTGACTCTTCTCTTAGGAAGGTAGAGGAAGTTAGCATATAACTTCCTTTCTGCTTTGTCTGATAAAATGTAAATGGACACCACAGACCTTTTAACCAGTGCAGTCTTCTATTGCGTGACCTCAGGCAATGTGAAGAGATGAAATCTAATAGTAATTTTCTGTCACATCTTCTAGGAAAGCAGAATCTCCCTCTTTCCCCACCAGCAGAACTGCCCTGTCCCCCAAAAGCGTAAATGCAGGATGTGAATTCGCCGCAGGCCTGCAATGAATTCAAGTCCACACCTGCTCACTGAATACGAGAATTCCCCTGGCGTCTAAGGGAGGTCTAAGGGAGCACGGGCTCAGAGCGAGCCCACGGGAGGCAGGAGGCACGGAGCTGGGACAGGGAGTGCTGACAGAGGGCCTTCGGGGCACGCAGAGTCTGAGCCTTTGCTAGGGCTTCTGTCTGGGTGCATCTTGCTAACAGGCTTCTCTTGGGGCAGCAGCAACAGCAAAGGAGGGCCGGGGATGCACCAGGGTCAAGTCTCACTCCCAGAGCCACCGCCTGTGGGAGACACTCCAGCACAGGGAGCAGTTCGTCTTGTTCTTGGCATTTTGCCCCGATTTCTAATTTCCTCCACAGTGCCTCCCGCTCAGGGGACTGCCCTCCTGGTGCCTCCGGAATGTCATGGAGCACATTAAGTGTGGGTCCCTGAGACACTGGCGTGAGCTAATAAGGCCAGGGGAGTTACCTGGCTATTATAATTTTCAGCAGAAAAAATTCCCACCTGTTACTTATGTTATGGTTCATGGGCTAGACAGCAGGAGGTAAGTGCCACGGCCTGTCACGGGTTCCTCCACTAGGGCCATGGCTTCTTCCTGACTAGGTGATTTACTCACAGCGGAATCACGAGGCTGATGACAACCAGAGGTGCCCCAGAACCTGTTTGTTATACCAGATGGAGAACAGAACAGATACAGTGCAGGTTCAGAGGGTGCTGAGTGTAGAAAACTGCTCAGGACACCGCCTGGAGTCTCAAGAACCAGTCATACAAAATTATTCCAAGCAGGGTGGGGAGGCGCTTTCTTGCAACAAACAACCGAAGATACAGGCAGAGTTATCCCTTCTATTCTGACCCTTTCTAAAGATGACAAATGTTTCAAGAATCAAACTCCTTTCCACGCTTCCAGATCTGCTGCAGACCATGAACGAAGATGGTCTCAGTTCAGAAAGACCAGAAATATCGAGACACATTAAACTATGGAGAGGTTCTATGTGTTTTGGGAGGGAGACTGCAGAGGTGACAATGGTTCCCGCCCTTCCAGAAGGTGAACATTAATCCTATCATGTAAACCACACCAGACACTCAGTGGGGGCCTGTGTCTAGAGGACATCCCCGCTTCTCAATCCCAAGCCTCAGCCGCCCCCACCCCCAGTGTGGGAACCCCTTGGGGTAAACTGTTGGGACCAGCTCAATTCAGTCCAACAGTGGTGGTAGTAGGGGTTGTTGCTCAGGCTTTTGAGAGTTTCAAGTTTTATGAGACTGAAGAATCTCACGACAGTTGCTGAGGATCAGGAAGACTCTAAGAGCAGGACTGAGGGGACCAAGCAGCTCAGCAGCTCCCTTCAGTGACTGGTATGACCCTAGGCAGCGGGGAACACGTAGCTGGCTTCGGGAACCCATTGCCTCCAGGAAGGTAGCGAGGAGAAATGAAAGAAAAAGAAGAAAACCACAGTATCAAATATACATCAGTCAGGTTAGACAAAGAGTAATTTGGATCAACTGATCCACAATCTGCCCCACATTGTACTGAACACATCCCAGGGAAGACAAGTGTTGCGCAGGTCCGTGGCACACGTGGACAGAGGCTAAGGAGGGGCAGGGGAGGAAGGGCGCCATGGTCTGTGTAGACAGTTTTAGGCACATGATTTATAATACTTTGTGGACGTCTAACAGGTTAATAAAATATATATTATATAAATATATCTCCCACTGTACACGCCGCCCTGTTGTGCAGCTACTGTGACTCCATGCCCCATACTCGTGCCAGGGCGTGCCAGGTGGAACCGGGAGGCCTGCACTCCTTCCTCCGCACCCTCTGGGCGGTCACCTCCACACTGGGGGCGTGAGGGACGGTGGCCAGGAGTATTGCTTCCATTAAGCTCAGACTCTGAAAAGATGGATGAATCACCAGAGTACAATATTTAGCCAATGCCTACTACAGTGGGTGTATGCAGCCAATGGACAGAAAGAAAAAAAACGGAGAAAGCCTCCATCTTTTAATGTTATAACTTTCCACGCCCTCTCCATGTAGAGGCACAGAGGAGCTTGTCTGGGAAGGTGGCCCTGAGCCTGCAGAGAGGTCAGGTTGGACTGCCAGTCACACCCTGAGACCGCGCTGAAAATCTTCGTAAGCCATTGTCTCTGACCTGCATTGTTGCCTAAAAAAATACAGCGAAATGAATCAACCCCTCGCTCCTCGCTCCTGCCCTGGGCCCCTCCCCAACGCGCGCTGCTTCCTGGCAGGGCTTCCGGAGCAACTGCTACCCCAGCAGGGTCGATCCCAATGTCACTGAGTCCTGCGCTGGCCCGGAGGGGGACGACCACTGGGATTCTGCTGCCTGGGGTCTCAAAGTCCAAACTCTCGGTACAGATCAGCACAAAGATTTTTGATCCTCTCCCCAGTCCACGTGCCCTTGGCCTATGGAGGCTCATGCTTTACTCCACTGAGGTGAGGAGATCACAGAAATGCCCATGGCCCGGGGGGGTCTTGGCCGGCAGTGGCTCTACAGGGTGGAAACTGGAAGGCGTAACTGTTTCAGCAGAAGAAAAAAGGTCCCAAAGCAGGCTGGTTAGTGGTTCCCCACCACTTGGTCAAGTCCATGGCCCTGACATGGCCCAAAGGTGCTTTTGAGAAATGAGCAAGACATCTCAGTTATAGCATATTGGGTGGTGTGTTTCCCCTTTAATGTCCTATCTTCATTTTACACAGTCACACAGAAGAAATAACCCCGCTGCCCAAATCAAGCCTGGAGGAGATGTGTTACTATATACATTTTTTTTTCTTTCTTTAAAAATTTCTTTCTTCCTTTTTTTTTTTTTTTTGGTGTTTTTTTAAAAAAATCATTTGAGTTGCAGGTCAGGTGAGTTGGTTCTGGAAGTACCGGTAGTTCCATTGGTATGAGAGAGACTTGTCTACAAGCAGGTAAACCCAGGTTTGCCAACAAGGCGGTAACGAAAGCGGCCAGCTGCTGATGCTGCGCAAATGGTCGAAAGGAGAGGGACACGAGACGGGCGGAGTCCGAGATGGGACAATGCAGTGGAGACCTGCTGCTGCTCTAACACGGGTGTTGGAGGCACCTCTGCAGAGAACAAGGTGAGTGGGTATGCTATACAGGAGGGCTGTACAAACTGGGCACTGAACAGGTAGTTCCTCCGGTGGTCAACGTGGCTCTACCTGTCCTTGAGCTCTCGTGTCACTCGTTTGGTGATACGTCCACACATCAGGCCAATCAGGAACAATATACAGATGCTCCCACTGATCACAGAGAGAATGTAGTTCTTTGACGGGGATGTCATCACTTGCATGGCGAGGTCTGAGAAGCCATCCGCTGGGGCCACCTGGAATGATGTGTAATAGCATCACCCTCTGAGAGAGAATCGGGCTGGGGCAGTGCTACCTGACTGGCCCTACCTCGATTCCTAGTTAAATTGACGTCACTTCTCTTGCAAAGAAAGGGCAAGGGACAAGAGCTGTTTAACTCCTTTTTCTGATCATAGTGTTGTATCTATCTACTGCGCAAGATTAGATAGACCTGCAGAGTATTATGCTAAGTGAGATAAGCCAGTCAGAGAAAGACACATAACCATATGATTTCACTTTAAACTTAATAAACAAAATAGAAACAAAAGCATAGATACAAAGAAGCGACTGACAGCTGTCAGGGGAGGAGGGTTGGGGAGATAGGGGAAAAAAAGTGAAGGGATTAAGGGAAAAAATATATGTAGAAAGCACACAGACACAGACAACAACAGTATGGTGCTAGCCAGAGGGAAAGGAAAGGAGAGGTGGAAGAAGGCAAGGGGGGTGAATGGGGATGGAAGGGACTTGACTTCGGGGGACGGGCACACGATGCAGTGTGCAGACGATGTTTTATTGAGTTGCACACTTGAAATCCGTAGGATTTTGTTAACCAATGTCACCCTAATAAATTCAATTAAAAAAAGGGACTGCTAAGAAAATTTAAAAGAAAAAATATTAGAAAATACAGACAAATCCAAAGAGGGGAAGTCTCATCACAGGAATTATCATCAACAACAAAATAATAGTCTTCACACCAAGGACTGGATGATGTGCCAGGCCCTGGCAAAGGGCTCAACACATGTCCCATCAGTGAGTCCTCACCGCAGTCCTCCCAAGCTCATTTCACTGCTCCCACGGGAGAGAGGAAGCCCTCGAAGCCCAAGGAATGGGAGGTGGTTTAGTGACTTGCAAAAGGTCACAGATTCTTATGTACTGATTTATTTTCTTCATCATGTTTGTAAAATATAACTGAAATTGTGTTGTATGCTAATTCTGTATCTTGCCTTGTTTTCACTCATTGTTAGTATCATAAGCATTCCCCTGCATCAGAAATAATGTGCAAACATGATGCACAGGGACTGAATATGCTTCACCGCTCCCCCCAGCGCAGACTTTACAACGTAACCAGTCTCCGTCCTCAGTTTTCCTCACTGCTGTCTCAAAAGCACCTCTACAGTAGCCTGTCATGGCAGAATCAGAAACGAAGGGTTCTCCTGGTATACACGAACTGTTCTTTTTAGCCTCATCTTAGCTTGGGTGACTGAAAAGAGCTGGCCCAGAGGTGTCTGGGCTGCTTCTATCCTGATCCCATATATACAAAATAGAGCAGGTGGCTTCAGATTAATGCGATTTGAGCACCAACATTTGTCAACACAAAACAAGCAATGGCATTACCCTGAAGCAATACTTAGCCGATCAAAAGTGGAAACCGACCAGGAAAGAAGAGACTAATTTTGTGTCTCTACTGTTTCAACTATGGACTTCAAAGCTGACTTTGTTCCCTCGGGACAAGGGGTGAAGGGTGCGCTTGCAATGTGGACAGCTATGGTCCCTTGTGTCTACGTATGAAGACTTTCTGTGATCTTTCCAACTTGCTGGTTACCCTTGACATTAAGTGTATAGATGACAGGAGGAACTTGTAGAGAAGGAGTCCTTGTGTTCATTCTCTTATCCAAGGAATGTGTCTATCCCAGAGCGGGGAGATATAAAGAGCTTAGGCCTAGAAATCTGACTTTTTTACCTTGGGTAAGTCACAATTTCTGAAGTCACAGTTTCCTCCCCCATAAAGTATGAAAATAATCATTCCACTTACCTCGTACGGTTTCAAGGTTTAAATGAGGTAACAGATACATTAAAGTGATTTGTAAACTACAAAGCAAGGTGTACATGAGAAAACTGTTATCATTTTCTAAAAGGCTGAATTGTTGTAGGAAAATCTGGCCCAGCTCAAGTCTGCCTGGGTACCATACACTTTCACTAGCGTCCTGATGTCTCTCTTTATCCTATTACTCTCCATGCTCCAGGCTAGCTCAGGGCTAGTCCCACATACATATTCTTCTCCACAGACTGTGTAAAATTAGAAAAACAAGCTATATAACAGGAGTGGCTGGATTTATTTCTTTTCCCACGGGCATGATGTCTAGTTTCTCTTTGCAGAGTTGGCTTAAGTCACATCCTTCCTTTGGGTGACTCACTTTTTAGTGGACTATGAGCAAATGAGGGCAGAAAGCAATGTCCCTGGCAAAGCCTTGCAGACCCAGCCCAATGCAAAGCAAGGTGGTGGTTCCGGGCTCACGGACAGCCAAGAAGGCTTAAAGAAACACTGACAGGCTTTCAGCTACACTTGCTCCCAGCCTCACGACAGGGACGAGAGAACCGGTGAGGCATCTTGAAGAGATGGGGAAACTGGCAGAATAGGCAGCCACTTCAGGAGAGCCTCTTGGTCCTTACCTTTGCTGCATAACTCCACATTTCAATCCGATCATTGAGGCGTTTTTTGCACTCAGGTTGTAATCTCACCCGCTTATCCTCCAGGGCCTCCATGAGGCAGGACATTTCTGTGGAATGAAAGGGATAAGAAAAGTCTGAAACCATACAGAACAGAGAAATTTTGGTAAGGTTGGGAGAAGGGTACCTAACCACCAAAGACTTCAGATCTGTTGATGAACAAGGTTAAATCCATTCTAGGATACCTGATTCAAGACCTAACATGGCACATAATGATATTTATTTCCAAGGTGGAATGTCCAGAGTCTCTCCTAAGCTCTCTCGTTTTTTACTGGGCATTCATGGCACAGAAACAACTTTATACCTGCCCAAGTTCTACCTCACATGGAACCTATGCAGTGAGCCTACTGTGCCCACTGGGGAAGCTGATGAAGCTTTTCTAGATTGGACAAGATGGGAAAGAGGTTCATGATGATGGCTTAACTTATGCTTCCCTGATAACTCAATTTCCACAGCTAGGTCAGTTCAAATTGCAGGATTATTTCACTTTGCCATAACGGCCCAGTTCCAGTATCAACCAGGCTCCCGGAGGATGTTGTCTGTGGTTGCGCTGCAGCTACAGAACAGAGTAGTTGCAACAGAGGTCTCAGGGGGAAGTCTTTGCTCCTCCCAAGATAGTTCAGGCAGGTTCGGAGCGAACACAGTGACTTACGACGCCCTCGACCGGGGGTGATGGCTGCACAATGGTGTTTAATGTCCAGGGCACAAGCTGTATGAAGAACTGGGTCCACAAAGATGTCTGCCTTGCTTTCCTTCAGCATGTTTAACACCTCCTAGGAAGGGAAGAGCATTGCAGAGAAAGCTTTTATAGAGACAATGTGTCGGATCTGTTGTTTGCAAATATTTTAGGTACAAACAAAAAAGTCAAGGAACGAAGGTTGAGGGTTAACAGCAAAGCCTACTCTGAGATAGGTGGCAATGTGGTGATGATGCAAAGGATGCAGGTTTTTAGCATCCAATTTAATTCAGTAAATACAGTTGGGAACTTAGTGAATGCAAAGCTGTTTGCTAAGCAAAGGAGATTGTAAAGTTAGGTTTGGGTTTTTGACATTTTGGTATGCCTTATAATTAAATGCTAAATGTTAGTATTCATATTGATGTAATACAGTTAATTAGTTACTTTAAGAAGTCAGAAAATGTGAAATCTGAAATTCAGAGTATTATGCCGTACAAAAATTCCCAAAGGTAAATGTCTGCAAAATGTTTCACTTTACCTCCATTATCCTCAAAAGGAAAATAAAGAAATTGACAGAACATAATGCTACTGCAAGGGTAATTCTTATCTGAGTTTAAAGAAGTTCTGAACAAGAGACATATAAGCATAATACAGCTGAAATCAACTCTGCAGACTCTCCAATTATACTTAATGAAATCACAGAAGGTAAAGGCAGGCTGGAAATTATTTCTTAAATAAAAATTAGTTTGCTGTCAGTAGAAAGCAACAGAACAACCCTGCCCCAACAAAACTCTATTATCATTCAAAAAGTCCTCCTAAAAGTTACATGGGACTACATATGACAGAAGAAAATAATCTACATGTAACTTTTAGTGAACTCAGCCCAGGACAAATTGGAAACATTTCTAGCACATGAAAATATTTGCACACAATATTCATATTGACTCAACAAGGACATCATTGAAACACTTTTCAAAAAAAGACAATGCTTTTTAAAAAAGATCAAATATATTATTTTCATTTTCAAATTTGCAAAATAATGTATGCTTAGCAGTCACGTTTTGATAAATTTGTTTTTATGTGATGTTCCTGAAATAAATGAGTTTCATTGATTTTTATGAATACAATACACTTACTGATATACTGCAATTGACATTTTGCTTTGGTACTTCACTAAGAGTGCGCTTTAAACTATGGTCTAGTCACGGAAATGAGACATATTCACAATTAGGGCATATGAAAGATAAGTTATAGGCCATTAATGGTCAAGAATCAAATTAAAGTTTGGTAAGAGGGAACAGCATAGCATTCTAGGAAGCAAAGTTTAGATTTTATTGCTAAAAAGTACAGACTGTAGCATTAAAAGGAAAAAAAGAAAGAGGAGCGCAAAGCAAGTGGGAGAAAATGGTAATTGATGGTAGTTACCTTTTTGCACAATTCTGTTTTGATTTTGAGCAGGTTAACTTTGAGACACTCTTCCACTTGGCCTGTCTGCTCTTGGGCTGCTGCTTCCTCGGCACATAGATTGGAGATCTGCTCAGGACACACGAAAACAAGGCCGCCCTATTCTCACCAGAAACCTTGGTCTCTGAAATGAGTAGACTCTGATCTTCCCACGCACCTGCCTCGGCTTTTCTCAGATTCCTGGTGGATTTCACTCCCCTCCTCCCCCCAGAATGAGATGACAAGCTCTGTTTTCCTTCACAAGAAATGGCACCGAGTCAGACACCAGCCAGTGCACATACATTTATGCTGTCCACCCTGAGACTTGAGACAGATTGTCCCAGGAATGGCCAAGGACTGGGATCAAGGACTACTCCCAGATTCCCAGAAGGAAGGTTATATAGCCAAGTAAAATACTAAAAGCAAATGCCTGACATTTACAGAGGTTCAGGTCACCCCAGACTCACAACTTGGAAACACGCACACACGCGCGTGCGCATGGGCACAAACTGGTCCTGAAATACAACCTGCAGCACAGAGTAAAATCTTAAATCTTCTTTGGTCAGCTTTTGGTAAGCTTTTTTGAAGTATTTTTAGATATTATCCCCTAAAATTCACACATGTTGAACAAGGTTTTTCACATGGCCTTTTCTGGCTAGGCAGTTAAATAACTTCCAAGGACAGAAACTTCTTAGTGCTACTACAGGAGCACTTCTATCTCTCTGACAAGTCTTGGGGGATTCTGGGTTGACCATGATAATGAGACAGAAGAACAAACTGTATGTTGATAGATATAGTAACAGAATCTCTTGTTTAATAGAGTAATACAGAGTCAACAGGACTAGTGCCAGTTCTAATTCAGTGTTACAGAGAACTGGGAACTCAGGCAATGGAAAGCCTAGAAGATAGGCCTTCAACTAACACTGGAGTCAGGACTCAGGGAAAGAGTAAAGAACTTTTTGCCAATAAAAACTTCTCTGATTAGCTCTGTTCACAACCAGTTTCATACCAAAATCCTACCTCATCTGAGCAGTGTAGCTGGAGCTGAGGATCGAGTCGGTAATCAAGAGCAGACTCCTGGATAATAATTCGGATCTGGTCTTCGCAGTCTGAAGAGAGGCGCTACATGTCACAAAGGTAGAATATGTCAGCCTATTAGACAATTTCAGCTTTTTATTTGGCCCCTGACTTGGGGAAGGTATAAAAAAGATCTTGGGAAAATAGGACCGAACTAAGGCCTTCCAAAGAGAACCACTGCCAGGAACAGAGGTGGTTCCATAAATACACTTCTGTGGAGCACCCCGGCCAATTTACCTGGTCAGCATATCTCAGCTTGAGGCAAGAGATGACTTGACCTTCTAGCTCCGAATCCTCCTTGGCTTTTGTCAGGATACCATGACAGAATTTAGGAATGTCAGCTTTACAGGCTTTCCTTAACACAGGGTTTAGGCGGTAATCTAGAGCACAAAGTGGGGAGAACATGATAAAATATTCCAACCGGATTCACAAATTTTTAGAGACCCGCTTTCTAAAAAGGGGCACATGACATCAATGACCACAAGTAAATCACTGATTTGTTTATTCAATAAAATATCTACTGAGCTCTTACTACATTGTTTTTTGTTAGAAATATAAATCAGGAATCCTACTCTGTAGCAGCTCTGCAAGGTCTTAGACTGACATTCTAACCAGTCCTCACAAAAATCAAACAGACATCAACAACTTGCCCCATACCAGTTATTTTTGAAAACACTGAGAATGGAATATCCAACTCACGTTGTCCACTAAGTTACAAGGTCTTACAACTCAGAGATGAAATTTCTCTGTTCTAAAACGATTACCCATATAAGAGGTCTGTCCAGAAAAAATCCAGCCATTGTTAACGTAACGAGAAAGGTTTGTGTGACATGGAACCTGGCAGCCAAGGAGAGTGGACTGGAATGTGCATAATGCATAAACAATGATGAGGTCACCGTACTAGTGAGTGTGGGCGGTAGATGCCGTTGAGTGAGCATGTGTACTGTGTGACTGTCGCATTCAAAATGACTATGTGAGTAAAGCAACAAATCTGCATCAAATATTGCATTAAGCTTGAGCACTCCTCCATGGAAACTACTGGGGTGACTCAGAAGGCCGCAGCGATGGGCAACTGGCAACTGGCAGCTTCATCACGACAACGTGCCCGCTCATGCATCATTTCTTGTGTAGAGTTTTTTGTGAAACATCAAATCACCCAGGTAACTCAGACCCCCTATAGCCCAGATTTGGTGCCCTGTGACATCTGGCTTTTTCTGGAACTAAAATCACCTTTAAAAGGAAATAGATTTCAGACCAGATCCAGGAAAATACAACAGGGCAACTGATGACGATTCCCACAAAGGGTTTTGCAGAGTGTTCTCAACCACGGAAGAGATGCTGGGAGAACTGTGTGAGGTTCCAAGGTGCCTACTTTGAAGGAGACTGAGGCATCACTGTCCTATGTACAATGTTTCTTGTATCTTCTCCAATAAATGCCTCTATTTTTCGTATAACATAGCCAGATACTTTCTGGACAGATCTCGCATTTGCCTGCCACATGCATGAAGCTTTATTAAACCTCTAGACTTTTCAAGAAACCTAGCCCTGATTTCTTTTGTATGCCCATCAAAGGCAGTTTTCTGTTTTTTTCAGCTTCCTCTTTCCCATGGCTTTCATTCTGTTTCTGGATATCATTCAAGGAAGAAGTATGTCATTTTGCTTACATCCTACTCTCCCTTAAAATGTACAAGCAGCAAAATACCTACAGTTTAATTAGGCATGGATATGTCCACTCAATTCCATTTAAGTGTGGGACCAGGAAAGCCAAACCAAGATATTACCTGTGTTCTGGGTGATCTGGCGCTTCGTTATCATCTGTTTGCATTTGGGATCCATCAATTCACTGTTTTTATTTTGCTTCAAGCACTGCAACATGGTTTTGGAATCTGCTTCTGGACAGAATCTCTGCAAAGAATCAAAGTTTTATAAAAACGGCTATCCAAACATGGCAATTGACACCACCCCTATCACTCACACATCTATTGAGAAGCTTATGACAGAAGCAGCCTGCAGGTATCACTTGGTACAGAGAAATGGCTAAGCCTGAAATGAGCACTCAGCCTCAAGTTCCCTGTTCTTCGCCTGCTTTCCACTGTAGTTCTCACATCTTTCTCCCACCTCAGTGTTTCCTACTTTGCATAGGGTTGATTCTCTACCTTCATGGCTGTTACATTACATGGAATCTCATAAGCTTATATATTATTATGCATGAATATAACATTGTACCAGATGGCCAAATATCTAATTCCAATGGGAAATGTAGGAATTATCCACTAACCAATGGGAATGGTGATGTGGGGAGGGACTTGCCTGGTTTACCTCTTAACTACAGGGCTGAAGTCAAAGCTCCATTATGGACCAGTAAAAAATTCCATCTCTACTCCCTAATTACAGTCCACTGACATCTGAATATAGGGATATTGAATGCTGACTGATTTTTATAAAAGTCACCAAAACCTTAGAAGTTCTGCCCTGGCTGGGTGGCTCAGGTAGATGGAGCATCACCCTGTACACCAAAAGGGCTGGCGGGTTTGATACCCGGTGAGGGTGTGTGCTGAGATAGATAAATCTCTCTCTCTCTCTCTCTCAAATCAATACAAAAAAAAATCCTCAGGTAAAGATTTTTAAAAAATTGGAAATCTTATGAAATTTCCACAAATCAGAGCCTGATACTTCCACTTTTACAGAGGACTCAGCTCTATCAGGCTCAGCTAAAGAGACTCTAACTTTCACAGTTCTCTTTGGAATTTATTTGATAGGGTGAAAAGTAACATTTTATTTTAAAGGGAAGCTTAAATAATGGGTTAGAACCTTAAGTTTACTCTCTCTGAACGTATGGATAGATCTAGGAACTGATGTCTAGGTTCTTAAGTCAGCCCTGCTGTAGAGAACGTTCACTGGAGAAGTAAATGAAGCAAAAAACCCTCATACAATGGAAAAGCCTTTTGATTGTGGTGGATGAATGATCAGGACATTTGATGGTGGCTTTCTTAGCATACTACCACGGATAACCAATAATATATTTATTGGACCTCTATTTACTTGTGGGTCAGGTCAAAATGATGTCAGTTATCTTAGCTCAGGGGTTCTCAAACTTGACCATGCATCAGAATCGCCTGCACAGCTTCTTTAACCAGGCTGCTCTACTCCCAGAGTGTCTGACTCAGAAGATCTGGGGTGGGACCCAGCAGTTTGCAGATGCCCAGATGTTGCTGATGCTGTTGGTCTAGGGACCAGACTTTGAGAACCACATTTTAGCTACATGAACAAGTAGAAGACTGCTTAGCTACATGAACAAGAAGCTTATATGAATTTGCTCTAATGTTTAAAGAAGTTTATGCTTTTTTTACTCACCCTGTGCTTAGTGCTTGGTTTGGACCTCTTACCTTTATCATCTGCTTGCAGACTCTCATGAGTGTATAGTCTAGTTCTGGGTCCATCATCTCTGTCTCCTGCAGCTTAAAAACCTTTTGGTGGCAACGGGTACTTAGCTGCTTCTTGTTTTCTTTCAGACATTCAATAATCTATGGCGTAAGAATTACCGTCAAGTTAAGGAGTGTATCTGGGATTGACAACCCATTTATTCTGACTGCAGCATTGTGGTCTTAGTGCATCCCCCATTTTTCTACATAAGTACCTTCCATTTCTAATTCCTCAGTAATGGGAATCAGCATTTCCTTTCCAAGGAGAAATATATTTATGGATTCACAACTTCAGGGCTAATAGTAAACCAAACTGTATGACAATAATAGGTGAATAGCAGGCTGTACTAGACTGTAAAGGGAAGGAGACCCATTCAGGACTGCTTGTTTCTTTTGCCTTCTCGGGCTGTTCTTGACAAGATTCCTTCTGGAGTACACAAGAGACTCTTTGACTTTCCCTGGAGCAATAACCCTGACTAGACAGTAGACATAAGCCAGGAAGTTCAGTTCAACTCATCCCTTACCACATGAGAACAGAGTATTAGATGCCAGGGATTAATGAGACCCAATCCTTACCCCTCACAGGGCAAACTTACATAAACAATTTCAGTAAGAAAGACGAGGGGATTAACATAAAAGCATAAATATCATAGGATGGATTTTACAATAGAGAATTAATTATATCCTGAAATCTCCCCTTCCCTCTATCATCTGTAAACAATAAAGAAGGGAAGCAGGTGGAAAGCTGCAGTAGCTAGGGCTGTAGCATAAAGCCATGGGACTTTCATTAAATCCTCAAGGCACACCCAAGAATCATCAAATAACTAAGCAAAAAGGCAACAGCGATTAAAACATATTACATCCTCAGTACAATACAGCAAAATGGTAAATAAGAATCAAGAACAAGTTATGAAAAGAATCAATTACAGATCTTGGGAATAAAAACTGCAGAATGACATGAATTCTGAGACTGAAAGAGCCAACAAGAATAAAGAAATCAAAAAAAATCCCCACTCAAACAAACCCTAATTACATCACAGTGAAACCGCAGATTATTAAAGATAAAGAGAAAAGCATAGAGATAGATTAACTACATAGAAATGAGAATCAGACTGACCGAAGGCTGCATTAGCAATGCAGATACAAGAAGACAATGCAGCCATTATCTCAAAGGAAAGCTCCATGGCAATGCCCTGAACTAGAAGAGGTAGCTGAGTCACTGGGAGAACATTAACAAAACAAAACAAAACAAAAAAAAAATTCATTTGCGTGCACTTCATTCCTTACAATTCTGGGTAGGGCTCTGTTTCATGTATTTTTTAAAAAAGTTTCCTATGTGATACTTGTGTGACCTTTAGTTATTCACTGCAATGGGGACACAGTAAGGGAACAGTTCACTATGGAGGTGAAGAGTGTTGGGGACGCTATAGCGAGGAGGAGGCATTTGAGGGGTCATTAAGAGGTCAGCAGGTGGGCAAGGGAACGTGAAAGAGGAAAGAGAACAGACAGGAGACAAAAAGGAACTTTGGGGAAAGTCTGGTGTAGCTTGTGAGGGGATGATTAAGCTGGAAAGGATGCAATGAGGCCTACCCCTCCAGAGAAGAATTAATTATTCAAATGTCACCTTCATGTTACTTCGGCAGTTAGAAAATAAGTTACCTGAGCATTGCCATATTGCACAGTGGAACAGTAGTTCTTGATGTCACTCTTGCAGGCTTCATACAGATCTGGTTCCAGGCGGATGTCCTCTGTCTGCACGAGAGAGAACCAGCATGGTAATGGGAGGTCATTCTGAGCTGAGGATGCCAAATGCTCTACATACTTATTTGCTGATCGGATCCTGTCTAGTAACCATAGCTTCTACACAGCAAAGTGGCAGGAGAATGGGGATTCAGTTTCCATTTTTGCCACTAACTAGCTACCTGGCTTTGGGCTTTCCTTGTGCAATAAAATGCTACCACCTACCCTAATCCCTCACAGAACTGCTGTGAGATGCAATGATAGGATGTGGAAACCACTTTAGAAAGTTAAAACCATTATATAAATGTAGGGTTCTACTTTTATTATTATTATTTTACTGAAAGAAGTAGGTTCAAAACTAGGGACCCAAAGCCTCAATTAAGCAGGGCATTTAGGCCAGCTCCACTTGAACAAACATGGTTATCACTGAACCACTGCCACTATATGTGAAAATCTGATGATGACTTTTGTGGTAATAACGTCTGGTGTTCATTACTAGTTTTTGCTTAGACCGAGGTGAAATAAGTATGACTCACAATACAAACAAATTAAATATTTTTAGCTGTTTCCTTAACATAGTCCGGGCTTAACCTCAAAAGCACAGCAAGAATTTTCCTCTTAGAGCGCACACTGTGGCCAACTTCCACTTTGCCTCCGTGGCCGGTCAGCTCGTCAGTGCATGGGACTCCCCTGGAGGCTGCAGTTGGTCAGGGAGTGGGCACAGACTCAAACTGACAGAATCAAATTCGAATGGGAGGATCTTTTGTGCATGCTGGGGGAGATTTCTCTTGTTTTTATCTTCCTGTAGGAGATGAATTTTGGAGCAGGTGGCCCAGGTGCTGGCGGCAGCTATCATAGGGGAAACCGGCCTCATGACGCGGCTGGTTCGAGGAGAGCAGAGGGAAAGGGAGAGATCTTGATCCTTGAGGACATTACTGATGCAATTATTATTATCGCACACTTACAGCTTGTCTTATTCTGGACTTCCAGTTTTGTGAGGTAAATATATTTGATCGTTTAAAAAAAAAAAGAGTAAAACAAGGAGCTGTCATATTCATTTTAGCACATGGCTCCAAGTCTTAACCATCACAATCGTGGCTAAAATCTTTCAATTAGCCGTGGCCCCTCACCCAACTTTCTATCCCCTGCCCCTGTGGTTTCTGGGACCGGAGGCTGTGGTATGAAGCATTACCATCTCCAGCTCCTCCACCCGCAGCTGCTTGCGACACTTCAGGGACACCCTGTGTTCTTTGGCTTCCTGTAGAGTGTCATTGCGCACGGTGGTGCTCAGGCAGATCACCACGTCCACCCTACCAAAAAAAAAACAACAAAAAACACAGAAGGTCTGAGACTGGCTGGAGCCACACAGAGGCAGATCGTGGACAGCTGGGCCAGACCGGACCAGGGGCAACCAGACATCCCAGAACTCATGACCCTTTTCCCCTTTACCATGTTTTTGAATGCATTTCCTAGTAAGTCTCATTGTGTTTTTAGAGCTCTAAAAGCAGCAATTTGACTGTATATGTCATAAAAGTGAGGCCACAGCCTAAATGCTGAGCATGTTCCTGACTGGCAAGGAGGCCAGAAAGGGAACGTGTGTGCAAGGACAGTTTAACACTCGTTTTGTTAAAACCATGTGACCAGAGAGGAATGCTCCTCTTAACTCTGGACTGTGACTTTGATGTACTGTGAACTCATTCCTGGAAAGTACAGGAACCTGAGAAAAATGGGAACTTGGTTTATATGAGAGGAAATACATTCTAGAAATGTGCCTTTGCAAAGAATGACATGGAAGGAGTTGCGTATAAGCTCATTGCTCTGCTCAGAGTTAAGATGTAATTCTTAAGTGAATAAAGCTTTTGTTTCTTCACTAGATCTCTAACTCTGTAAAAGCCTCTGCTCCTTCCCTGACGAGATGACAGAATAGAATCATGGCAGGAGGAAGTCAGCTAGCCTCTGGCAGTCACACTACAACTTGTTCCTCTCTAAGTGCGCAATCTGTATCTGCTCCATTGGTTACACAGCCTGGGTGTTCCTTTAGCCTATGGGCTCTCTATATCAGAACTACCACCAGCAGCTGTGGTTCTCAACAGCTATAAAGATGATGTCCAGACAATGCAGTGTTTGGCCACACTTCCAAAGGAGCGTGCAGGAGGCTTCCTGGGCTGGCAGGAAGCAGGAGGCAGCCTGACATTTTGGATCTTCACTCAGTAGCTAAGAGGGATTTTAGAGGAGGGATTTTAGAGGCGGAGAACAAATCAATTAAGAGCGACATACTTCTTCTTTATGTTGGGGCAAAGTTTCAACACATCCTCTTTGCAGGCCATTTTGAACTTGTAAGAGAATCGAAAATCCTTCATTTGCACCTAAAAACAATGATGAAAAAGAAAATCAGGGGCTCTGTGGCAAGTTCTAAGCAGTGAACTTTCCCTGGAGCAGTGAACTTTCCCTGGAGCAGTGGTCCAGGTGGCACCGTGTCCATACGGCTGCGGAGGGAGCTTTCCAGGCTCTGCGCTCCCGCAGGCTTCACGACCTGCTGACCTCCCCACTCCTCCCTCTGTCACTGCCTTGGTGTTTCTATTCAAGCACCTCCTTTTTTAAGTCCCTTGTCTCCTTCACTCTCTAGTCCTTAACACTGTTTTATTTTTCTTCATAGGCTCACTTGAGACTGTGTATTTACTTGTAAAAGTGTTTTGACTCTTTCTTTTACTAGAACGCAGTCGACAAGAGCAGGGTTTGTTTGTTCCCCCCTGTCTCCTGAGGCCCGCACTCAAGAGACCCTTAACCCGTCCGTTAAAAGCTCTCTGTCTCAGAAGAGGGAAATTTTGCACAGACATCTGGATTTTGTCCTCCTGGGAAGGAAATGCTTGCCTTACCAGAAACACTTCCTTCAGACACGTGGTCACAGAGAAGAGTGTGATTTAACATTCTTATTCAAATGCCTGACCTGGGTAGTATGATTTTTTTAAAAAGGCTCAGAATACAGTGTACTGATACCTATTTGGGCTGCTGCAATGAACAGTGATGCAAAACAGCGGATCTCACCGATACTGTTAAAGGAAAGGTTAAACTACCTTATGAAAGCATGTGATGTGCCTGGAGTAGGAGATGCCTGTTTACTTGTCTCAGCCCCCAGGGGACTACCTGCTGCCTAAGGGTACAAATTCTGTATTTATCACTGAATTTCCAGGAGCCTAACAAAGTGTCTGGCTACAGCATATTAAAACCACATTTATTGAGAACAAATCAAAATAGGACATGTATCTGCAAAAAAGCAATTCTTCATAGGACGTGCTCTGATGTTGTAAAAGAGGAAGGGATTCAATAACCAACCAAGCAGCCAAGAGTAGAAGGCTCTGCTGGGTGTCACTGACCAGTTGGAAATGGGTGACTCCAATGGCGCACTTCTCATTCATGTCCTTCTGGTGTTTGTTCTGTATCAGACACTCCATCAGGTCCCCAGAGTCTATCTGGTTATCTGCCACATCCTGGAAAAGGAAGTGCACATTTACACTTCATTTGTAATAATTAATTAATGAATCTTGTATCCCAGTCCATGAAAAATGTAAACAAGACTGATTCTAGAGCCTGTGCAAAGAAGGTAGGTAATCAGTTAATAAATAAGCCCAAGAAATTACAAGGGATAAACACCTGGGGAATAAGATTTACACCGCACGCTGCCCTGCATGAAGCCCCAACAAGAACGTGTGGTATGCAGTGCCTTACTCCCCTCCTTGTGTGACACCGGCAGCTGGCTTTGCTGTCAGATCTTCATGGTTCCTGGGGGGTTTTGCTCCCATAATTTAGGTAATTCAGTAAGTGAATAAAGCAAAAAGGTAAGAGAATTCACTCGCTATCCAGGTGCAAGAAGAGTTGGAAGGGGAAGGCACTGTCACCACTGACAAATCCTGAGCTGATGTATTAGAAACAACTCAGTCATGTTAATGGGGCTTCCCTGTTCCCTCTTTCCTTATAAAGGGCACCCAACAACTGCTTCTTAGCACATATCTGGGCTCCTACAAAGGACAATCAAATAAGTTTCCCGGGATGGTGGCATCCCCTCTTGACTTTGTTTACATCTTCAACTTCTCAAAGTTGGCCACTCAAAAGTAGTGTATACTGAAGACAGAGATGATCCAACACACTTGGGAGCCAGAGTCCTCGTATGTGGTTCTGTTTCTAACCTTTGTTTCTCCAGGCATCACTTACGTGGCAAAAGTTCTGAATTATGGGCTCACAGGCTCTCATCAGCAAGGCTTCTATTTGAATATCCTGTAAAAGATTAAATATATTAATTTTGCCTTAGTAAGAATCAGGGATGGGAAAAGGAGCAGTTTCTTTCTCTGAATCAGTAGCATCTGATGGGCAAATAATTTAATATGTACACTTGGAGACTATTCTAGTCTTTAAGTTAGATAGCCCCACCAGCATAGCTAGAACTGCACTTCCATTATATTTTGAAAGGCAAGTTTTCTTAAATGCAGATGCATAATTAACAAGAGGAGAAAAAGACATTTAATAATAATACTAGAGTATGTAAAGCCTTTCAAGCTTTTCTAAAAAGCTAAACAGTTCAAAATGGAAACAGAGGTAACTGACATCTGTCTTTAGTTTATGGGCTCCTAAACCAGGTCACTGTCCTCAAGTCCGATGATAAATCATTGCCTCCGGGAACACACAGTAACTGCCTTTAGGCAGAGAGTAAGCCCTGTACAGCGCTAGCTGCTGAAACAGCATTTTCCTTTAAAGAGCTACACACGGCAGAATGTCCTCATAAGCCCATAAGGACAATGTGAATGGGTGAGGAGATGACAGAAGATGAAAGAAGGCAATAAACTTTTGAAAAAAGAGAGAGGGGAAAAAAAAAGACTGGCTGAGAAATGTAATTTTATGTATTGCCAAGTCTGACAATTCAAATAGTTCTAAAAGGCTTTTATGATAGAAAAAAGAAGCAATTCCCTGTTCCCCTGATTTCTGCCCTACAAGGCAATTGAAACATTTTTAGCTGCTCCCCCATAAGTCAATATTTTAAATAATATGCCTATGCTTATGAGGTTTTTTTAAATCTCATTTTTTTAATATTTCAGCGGGTTTTAGAATGGAACAGGGATAAACCCTCAATCTTCCACGTTTAACAGTAAGTCCCAGGCTTTCATTTTATTAAACACACAAACATTACCAAATGACCTAACTGAAAGGGCTAAAGATAACAGGAATGCTTAGACTCTTCTTGAATGTGATTAAGAGATTTAGAGTATAGTTGCTATCTTTTCTTAAATGAAAAAAATAGGTCCTGGCTGGTGTGGCTCAGTGGACTGAGTGCTGGCCTGCGAACCTAAAGGTGGCTGGTTTGATTCCCAGTCAGGGCAAGTGCCTGGGTTGTGGGCCAGGTCCCCAGTTGGGGGCATGTGAAAACAACTGATTGATGCTTCTCTCCCTCTCTTTTTCCCTCTCCCCCAACACTCTCTAAAAATAAATAAATAAAATCTTTAAAGGGGGGGTAGTGGGAGAAGATTGGTCTAATCACTGTGATAAATCTTATTTATGCAATAAACCAGAGGGCTAAATGTATAGAGCAGTTTTCTGTAGAAATGAGGAAAAGGGTTCAGAAAGTATCACAATATTCTCCTTTATAAAGCTAACAGAATCTGGCAAGTTTTCTTTTGTTTTCCAGAGAATCTGTACTCTCAAGAGTCTAGAAACAGTAGGAGCAAGAAAAAAGGAAAGGCTGCTGGCGAGGCACTCTCTGGCTCTGAGCTGCAGACTGCTTACCTCAGATTCCAACTCAGTGAGGTTGCCGACTATGTCTCTGCACTCTACAGCCAAGTCATCAAGATGGTCCTGGAGGCACTCAAGCTCCTGCAAACACAAAGGCAATCCCTTGGGGCTGGTCAAATACAAAAATGATCAAGGGAAGCTGAGATATCAGTGTCTACTTCCTTTGCAGTGGTCCTCTTTTCTTTTTAAAACTACTTCACTGAACAGAACACTAAAGTGTTATTTATTTCCCAAACTGGGATGGTTCAAAAGATAATTACTTGACCTAACAGAGTGGTTAAGGGGGTACAACAGCCTTGTAAACCCTCCAGAAGGCCAAATTGAGAATCAATGTTGAAGTGTTCAGAATCTAAAAATCTTATCAGGCCTTTATTATTCCATTCCATCAACACCCAGGCATTCCATTTTTTAATGTTTTGAAAATAATCATTGGACAACAAATTCACAGTGAAAGACATGGAATATTTTAAGACTCTTTATGGGCAAAGTATGCTGGGACCCAGGATCTTAAACACAGCATAGAGCTGTACGTTCCTGGAAGTCAAATCTGGATTCTAACCCCAGCCCACACAAAAGGACTCTCTGAGGGAAACTGCAAAAGCAGCAAGCACACTAGGGTTTGGGTGTCTAAAGACTATCTTGCATGGGCTGTGGAAACAGCTGCAGCTACCTTGTAGCATCAGTCTACTACTCTTTCTCTTAGAAATTTAGAAGTTTTTAAGTACAACATCACCTCATTTTTCCAAAGTACATCAAACAGCTATTTCTTAGCAAAGGGCTCTGTGAAAGGACCAAGTTTAACTTACTTCTTTGCAATAATCTCTGTTTTGAAATTAAAATAGGAAGGGAGGAAAAGAGCTATATGAATTATACTCAACCCTAAAGGGAAATGCATAATACTTTTTGGGAGTAAAATAAATAACTAAGGGGAAAATCCATTCATGGAATCCTGTTTAGCCTCAGAGGAATGGCCTGCAACACAGTACAGCTTTCTTGATGTTACTTCATACAGGGGGTATGAAAGGAAACTGTTTCCTGGGATTCTGTATGACCACATCCCTCATTTCATCATTAGACAGAGGCAACAGAAAGTAAAAACAATAGGCATTTTCTAGCAATAAATTTGACAGAGCTGTAGTAGGCCCAGGAAGCAGACTGATAAGAATGACATTCCCAAGCTCAACAGATCTGTATAAGCAGCTAAAATGTCCAGTTACTGCCCTGGCCAAGTGCTTCGGTTGGCTGGAATGCTCACCTGTACACCACAGGGTTGTGGGTTTCATCCCCAGTTGGGGCACATGTGGGAGACAATGGATTGATGTTTCTCTCTTACATCACTGTTTCTCTCTCCCTCTCTTTACTCCTCCCTCCCTTCCTCTCTCTCTAAAATCAATAAACATATTCTCAGGTGAGGATTTAAAAAAATGTGCAACTACTATATATGCAACTCTTTAATAGTTAATCCCAGAGATTAACTATTGTCCTGGAGTGGTACAAATGGAACCTGGGAACCTGGGTTCACACCTTGTTCTGGTATCAATGGGGCATTAAACAAGTAGCTATTCCTCACCTTCTGGTTTCCCTGCATCAGGGTAGAAGACAAGCTACCTTCCCACTTCATTTGACAGAATACAGTAATGTACCCTTTTTTTAAACTAGACATAAAATCCTAAGGAACCATTATAACATGCATGTAATTTTCAGGGGCTGCTCCTTCTTTATACTTTCCTGTATAGGAGGCGGTTGTAATATAATGGAACAAATGCTTGGCTAGGATTAGACCTGAGTTTTAGGTAGGAAGTCAATACACTTCACTCCTCTGAGCCTCACTTTTATCAATTACTAGATGGAAAAATTCCATTCCTACAAATCCTGTAGGACTGTTGTAGGGCATGCATACCAGTATTGACATACATATGTATATATGTATACCCTGCCTCTTCTCAAAATGTGGCTTATGAAATTGACAAAAGAGAAAAAAGGCAAGATAAAATGAATAAAAATGAATAAAAAAGAGGAAAGAAAAGGAAATTATGTTAAGTAAAGTGAAATGGAGCAAGTAGTGAGTGAGTACATGCCTACCACAAAATCTTATATATTTGCTAGAGGCAGGCCATACTTTCCTTTTGCTCTAGGCTTTTTAAGAGACAACACAAAGAGGGAAAACAATCAGTTACAAAACACAGTGGCAATAATATAAAAACAGACTAACTGCTTAGGAAAAGTATGATTACTCCTGGTTAAAGAGAAGAAACAGAAAAATTTTCCTGAGGATTTCTTATAGAGAGAACATCAAATAATATAACAAATCATGTCTGTGAGGTAAACAGAAATGGATTTTATGGGGGTTTGTACTCTATGTAAAGTGTTAATCATGAATATTATTATTATGACTATACAATAAATAGGTGGCTCTGTCACCTACCTGTCCAGTCTCTGTTTTTTCACTGCACCATTTTCCCAGATCAATCAGGCACTTATCCTGGAGTGCAGGATCCAGCTTAACGTCCATGGCACGCTGGTGCAGAATCCTTTGGACTTCAGCTCGGCACTCCCGCGAGAGCTGTGTAAGAACAAGCAAAGCACTCTAAAGGTACCAAAACCAAAATCAAGTCCAAAGGACACTTGATAATGTCATAAAACCAACAAATAACTTTATATCTTGAATCTCGTCCAGAATAAGAATTAAATGTTCTAGGAGGCTTCTAAAAACCCACCTCTCTTGGAATGAGATTATACCTTCAGCCTATTCTAATATATTATGTAGCAGAATGCTGGGTCGCAATCAGGAGAGAACACACACTGGTCAGGAGAACTGAGTTCAAATTTACCTCAGCTCAGAACAAGCAGGCAACAGAAGAAGCAACAGTTAGCACAGGTCAGGACCAGACTCTTCTAGATGAGTCAGAATTAGCAGAGGGTGAAACAGATGAAAACTAGTATTTTTGGAAGGCTTGTGAGAAAGCTGTCATTTACAGGTACAGTCTTTATTCCTAAAAGGGCTCATGTACCTGGGATAGAGGGAGAAAGATGGAAAATAACGGCTTAGTGGACATGGGGTTTCTTTTCGGAGACATGGAAATGTTCTGGAAGTACACGGATGTGCTGGTTGCACAACACTGCCCACGTACTGAATACCGCTAATTTTTTCTCTTTCAAATGGTTAATTTTATGTTATATGAATTTCTCCTCAATTTTTAAAAGAAGTATATTTAAAAAAAAAAAAAAAAAAGCTCTGGCTGGTGTGGCTCAGTAGATTGAGTGCCAGGTTGCTAACCAAGGGGTTGCTGGTTCAATTCCCATTCAGGGTACGTGCCTGGGTTGCGGGCTGGGTCCCTGGTAGAGGGTGTGTGAAAGTTAACCACACACTGATGTTCCTTTCCTTCTCTTTCTCCTTCCCTTCCCTTCTCTCTAAAAATAAGTAAATAAATCTTAAAAAAAAAAAAAAGTGCCCTGGCCACTATGGCTCAGTAGTTTGGGTGCTGGCCTGCAAACCAAAAGACTGCTAGTTCGATTCCCAGTCAGGACTCATGCCTGGGTCGTGGGCCAGTTTCCCAGTTGGGGGTGTGCAAGAGGCAACCGACCAACGTATCTCTTGCACATCAATGTTTCTCTTGCTCTCTTTCTCCCTTCCCCTCTCTCTAAAAATAAATAAAATCTTAAGGAAAAAAAATAAGACAGCATACCAAATTCCAACCCTTCCTTCACTTATAAGACAAGGTGCCTCCCACTACAGTGACTACCAAGATGCCAGTTCCTGTGATTAAAGATAGACTCATAATGAAAGGATAAAGTAAAATCAAATTCTCGTATTTTCTTACAAAGCAGTATAAAAACTAGGTTACAACTGCAGTGACTGAAGCATAACATTTCTTTCTATCTTGGTCACTTTATTCTGAATACTAAACTTAGACTTTTGCATTAAGCTCAGAAGGGGTATTTGTTAACATGCATGTGAAATAATACCATCTCTGTTTTCTATAACAAATGCAGGACTGAAATGCAGGAGAGTGCCTCAGAAGGCTTAAAAACACCATCCGGGAGAGCAAGCAGCATGTCAGTGTGGCACCAGAAGGCAGTAAATGTTGCCTGAGAGTCAAGCACACACAAATATCCCCAAAGAGGTGGCAGTCAGGGCAGATATGTACTAAGAGACTGGGGTATGGAGGTTTCTGCTCCAACTAATGTGCTGTGAGAGAGGCCTATTCATATAGGCATTGCGTGTTCTGATGCCAAGAGCAGAAGCCTAAAAGCCATTTGTATCTTGGCTAAGGGCTTCTAATGGATCTTTAAAGCTAAATAAAATTAGGGCAGCAGAACTTAATTGTCTATTTGTGATTTAGATTTTCATAATTTAAAGAAAAAGTTGGAAATGTCCTGACTCTTTCTTAAGCATCTCTTGATTGTGGCTGAAGGAATTATGGAAGAGGAAAGGACATGATTTGTTAAGGTAGTAAACTCCGTTATTTTGGTTATTTTGGAGATGGCGGAGTAAGCACGGGGGGACTCCCACCCAGTTTTCTGTAGTCTTTTCCAGAGCAAATTTGAGGAAACAGAAACAGAACACATAAAATAAGATGGAAAGAAGCTGGTAGAACAAGTGTATGTACACTCACTGAATGATGAAGTTTCTAGTAGTGCAGGAACCATTCCCCACCAGATACCCTAACAAAGTTTCCCTAGGATGACAGAAATCAGAACAATATATAGCAAACTAATTAAAAAACAAACGATGATAAGAAGAAATGAAGTCAATAGTGATGCATACCCTTCTGCCTTGTTCCTCAGTGCGGTAGGCGTGTCTATACAAGCAAGAGAACACAGCTCCAGGAGGTATAAGTTCACTGGTTTCATTCCAGCCGTGGGTGTGGCAAAGACGAGATGCATCTCCCTGGCATTTTCGGTATAAGACAGGGTCCAGCCTATAATGTTAAGAGTTAAAAGATGATAACCATTCTTACTATACCTTTCCATCTAACACACGCTAAGGGTTTTTACCATGTGCTGTGTACTCATTAATAATCACCTCCAGGGCAGTGGAGACAGCAGGGAAGCACAAGTATATTCCTGAATTTGTTCTTCACAGACACACAGTGGTCAATCTGCAGAAGTTTGTTAACCTTAGTACAGAAGATTTATATTCTACCTCAAAGATGTTATCTTGGCTACATAAGGCACACAAGATTTCAGTAACAGACTCAGCACTAACATGCCCTGGCTGAAATGAGAAAATAAGGATTATGCTATCAGCAGGCAATGCATAACCTTTTACTCAACGCTTTTTTCTAGGTATAAATGAAGTTCAATCCTATGTGATATACTAGATTCAGTAAGATCAGGAAATGGCAAGATAAACAGAATCTCTCATTCAACTTCCTTTCTAGCGAAACTGTTCCTCTTCTGTTTCTCATGCAAGGTAAGGCCATTATAAATTTAGTTTACCTAAATATGTTTATCAGTTTCAAAAACTTGACATTTAACGTTGACTCTGGAGACAGTGGATTAAGCAATAAGCCTGCTGTTTCTGAGAATTAAACCAATGGATGCTTAATTCTGTCCATATCATAAAGTCAACTTTTGGGGAAGGCTACTTAGTTGGGGGAGAAAGGCTAATAATATTTAACAACTAGCTTTTAAGACTCTGAAGCATTTTTTGATTGTGGCTGAAGGAAATTACAGCAGAGGAAAAGACATGATTTTGTTAAGGTAGTAAACTCTGTTATTTTGGTGGACATGGCTGAGTAGGCACGGGATGGGAAAATCTCCCCCTGCCCCGAGCTTTCTGCAGTCTTTTCCAGAACAAATTTGAGGAAACAGAAACAGAAACACATTGAAACTTCAAGTAATCTTTCAAGTGAAGTATGTAGTAGGTAAAACACACATTAATCACCAGATAACGTTAATGACTAAAGTACTATGGCTTAAACAACTGCACTCGGCAAGCAGGAGCAGCAGCCTGATCCTACTGCTGCTTCGGGGGTGGGAAGCGGGTGGGAAGAAGACAGAATTGCAGCCAATAAATTATAGTGGTTCTGACGGTAATAGATCCTTCTCCTATCTTATATCCTCCCTTATTTTTTGGCTAACAGGATGAAAATAAGCTGTCACTTACTGATGAGAGCCTCTTAAGATAGAATAAATTCAATAACTGTAAATAGTTAAAGGAATAAAAGCAAATTCCCATACTCGGTACAAATCAATAAAAATAAAAATGCACTATTATCTTCTTAGAGACATATCTGAAGTTGCTTCTGCTGCCCCAAAGGTGCCAAGTTCTTCCTAGATTGATGTTTGTGGTATGAGACTTACACTTACTCTGGCTTCAGAATACTCACTTCCAATCTCGGGAGATGAAATACTGTAGCTCTAACAGACGGTGTTCACAGTCTTCTACCATTTTCTCTGTGTATAAATGTTCCATCAGGCACGAGAGGATCCTGGGCATAAAACAGGTGTAAAACTGTAAGGAGTAGAAGGGTTCTGACAATATGCACAGAACTCTCACATCAGTATCTCCCTGGTCTGCAGAAAAAGCCATTTACCTGTTTTCCTAGGGCAGACAGGCACCTACTCACCCCAGCAGTGAGTAAGCCTTCTGCCAACTTCAGAGCCACTTAGCACTTAGGACTCAGCTTGCACAAGATCTGGGTGTAGCTGCTTTATTTTTTAACTGTTTATTATGAACATTTTCCAACACACAAAGAAATGGAGAATCATATTACATCCACCTATCCTTCCCATAGCTTTATATACTATGGCCCAGGTTGTTTGAACTCTGTCCCCCTTGCTGATATTTTTAAGCAAATCCCAGATATCATATCATTTTGTCATAAATACTTCAGCATGTTTATCATTTGAGAATATATCGTCTACTAAAAGAAACTAATTTTTAAAAATCCACAATATCATGTAATATCCTATCAGTTTTCAAAATTTTCCAATTATTTCATGCCTTTTTACATGTTTGTTCAAATCAGGACCCAGAAAACATCCACACATTGCATTTAATGGATAGTCTCTTAAGTCTATTTTAATCTGTAGTAATTCCCTCCTTCCTCTCTCTCTCCCCTGCCCTCTTTGTAGTTGATATAGGTATTTTTATATTGGTAAATATGCTTAATTTGTCTTAAGTGTGTTTGTCTATCTCCCACCATCACACAAAAAGCTTTAAGGAAGAACACCTTTTTAAAATCCCCTATCACAGCGTGAACCGCAGGAGTGTGTGCACAGCAGAATGATGGTAAACATGGACTACATTCACTTCATTGTTGGGCACCGCCAGCTGTAGGCTATAATGTTTTTTTTTTTGCAGAATGGGAAGCCTATTCTTACTTGCAAACTGGTTTTAAGAGCTGATTGTATATCATATGGAATAAAACTAATGCATGGAATTCAAATACTTCCTTAGAGAATTCTACAGCTTTCCTAGATGTTGGATACAACTTCAGAGTTCATTTTGTCCACAATTCCCCCTTTCAACCACCATATTTTGTTTTACGCTTCAATGACAATTAATTACCTTCTAATGACTATCAAGAGGCCAATATACGTGAGTCAATATACAAACATGATGAAAAGTATAGATAAAGTATGTGTCACTTTATCCTGAGAATTTCTCTCATTTTTATTTGACTGTTATTTGAATCATGCAGTGACCTAATGTATAGGCCCATCAATGCTCAGTCACTGTCAACAAACATCATCACAATGCTGGGTCAAGGTGTCTCCATATGGATGAGGCAGAGCTGAAGTCCCAATTCCCATACAATTTTAACAGAAGCTGGTATGTGTTGATATTTAACAAAGTTCCAGTTATGATGTTCAGGGAATGTTCCCTGTGCTACATCGCCAAATAAAATACAATAAAGATAAATACTACTGACAAGATAACCTACATTGGGTCTCCCGATCTTATGTGTTTGCAGGCGGTCTGTATTACAGATTCACAAGCCTCGTTCAAAGCTCTGTCAATGCGGTAATCTGCACCAGGGTCAGTCTCCTGAATCAGTGTTTGAAGCTGGATTAAAACAAAAAAAGAAGGAGGAGGAAGAAAGTCGCTTACATATCAGGGAAGAGCAATGTCATCTCTTCATACAATCAGTTCCTAAATCTGGGATATCGCAATGACCCTTAAGAAGGTACTACAAGTGTACTAGCCAAGCTCAAGGGCTCTTGCCAAATATGTTCCAACTGGTTTCTCTAACTTGACTGAGAGTTTTCTGTTTAAACCACTGTGGGAATTACCTGCCTACCAGTCTGCATCATCCCTGGGCATCTGCAAAACAAAATGTTTTTACAATATAAAGGCTGTCTTTTCCCTCACATTTGCCTATATTAATCAGATGACTAAATCTGACACTCAGGGCCAAGCGAGAAGAGAATCGAGTGGAAAAGGGTAAATAGAAAACAGTCAGAGACCTAATTTGGTTATAAAAATCTAGAATTTAAATTTTGCTGCAAGGACATTGGCATTGAAAAAAGTGTACTCTGCTTTATCAAATATAGATGTGAGACTGCATACAGCTGGAAAGAAATACCGATTATAAAAAATAAGAACACTCATAATTTCCTATTATCCTTCAAGAGGTGAACCAGAGCTCATTCATTATGTAAGTATACAGAGAAGTATTTATCATCATGTAGTTGAAAATGAGAATATAGTCTTCAACATTTACTTTTGCTTGGTCCATGCTTTGTCATGGAATAAAGTGAAAGTATGAGATGTGCCTTAAATTCTTTTTTTCCTATCTTAGAGGAAAAAGCAGTTGGGGCACAGAGGAAATATCTCTAAATTAAGGATCAGAGGACCTGAGTTCTATTAATAGTTCTGGTTCTGCCAGATATTAGCTTTGAGAACATGGGCAAATTGATTAACCTTTAAGTTCCAGTTTCTTTTACTGCAGAGGATTATAAGAATATATAGAAGGCTGCATACACTGCAAGCATTTGACAGACGTAAAAGATCATCATTACTACAGATGGGTAGCAGATGGTGATTTGGGGCAGGAATCTTATATAACAGAAAGCAAACTTGAAAACTATAACCCTGGTTTGGGGTGCTTTGTTTCCAAGTTAGAGACCGGGGGCCCTTTTCGTGTGTGTCACAGATTTAGCCTCTCTCTGTAAGGGCCTTTTCTGATCCTCATACATTTGACCCAAGATCCACTGGCGCTCATATGAAAGTACTGACACCATCACATGTTGATCAGAACACAAATCAGAAGGAAATGAAGGAAGAAAACCCATGTTTGTCTATTCTAAAATAAGTCAATAATCAAGATGGGAGAAATATGAAAGATTTCCAGTATTCTGGGATGAATGTTATTTATACCAATTCTTGGTGGCAATTCGGAGAAGCTATAAAATGCTGTTGTTAGTTGGTAGGAAGATTACTGTCAAAGGGTTACTGATTTTAGTAATGACATTTGTTGACAAAGACCAAAATATTTACATCTTTTTCTGAGGGAAATTATAAGCATGGGAGTCTGAAAGTCTTCGCAAAGAATTGTATTAGTTAAATGGCCATGACTGATGATGGACAGGTAAACGTGGGGAATTCACAATGCAGGCACTGGACTGCAGCTACTAAACGGAGGCAACAGACATCCTACAGACTCGAGAAGGCTAACGACTCAAGAGATCATTGCCACCCTGGAATCCAGTGACAAGAATGTGGGAAAGTAACACTAACAATGTAGACTGCTACATGATTTTATATCTACTCCAGCACCTGACTGCTTAGGAAAAACCCGGGGAGATGTTTCCGGGAAATGAGTAGTCTCGAGAATAAGCTGCGCAGTCGTCTTTGGCCTGGGAGAGACGACTCGTTCCACCATAACTGAAGAGAATTTAGTAAGGTCACGCTATGGTGCATTTGGAAAAGTATGTACTCATTAAGATAACATTTATTTTTATGCTTCACAGTTTACTATTTGTTAAGAGATCACTAAATCAGAGCACAGCCAAGCAGAGAATAGGGAAAATTAATGGTCAACCACAGACAGGTTTGAAAGTCTACTGCATCAGGGAAGAAAACATAGAAAAAGAAAAAAAAAAAAACCCACTCAAGACAAATTATTTCAAAACATCCTTGCATTTGACTGAGGGTGGAAAATGTAGTAAAAGACTAAGAATTTTTTCCTTTCCTTCAATTCCTAAAAACTATGGGTCCATAAAAACCAATATAAAGTGTCTGCTTTCCACTTGGCTAAACCTAATGTGGGCAAAATCATGTATTTCACTATTTGAAGCTTAAGCTCTAGGTTTGGAAAGCACTTTTATTCTGGGCACAAAGGATAAGGTAGGCAGTACTTACTTATCTTTCAAGTTGTTGAGTCACTAGCTATTTTAACAAGCTAATTTCAAATATCCCTGGAGGTTAGTGCAATGCTTCGAAATAAAGTCAAGCTAATTTATTTTATTTTTTCTGTACATCTTAGTACAAGTGTAGCCTCAGTAAAAAAAAAAAAAAAAAAAAAGATAGGTTTATTTCTCACCACTTCCTCCCCTTTCTACTCCGCATTAAGGATGAAATGCAAATGAAGAATGTCTTGCTCAATTCTTGGTCTGAGGCCCAGACACATACACTGTCACAGGTTTCCTAGGAAAATCACCAGCAAGAACCGCTCCTGAGCAACTGCATCCAGAAGCTTTCTGTCTAGCTAGGCTTGGTATTTTGAAGAGGTTACATTTATCTATTTTTCCCACAATGGTATGTATAAATTACAGTGTACTCGGGGTCAGGATAATAGAAGTTTAGGTGAAATTTTACTCCACATCAAAATTCTATGGACATTTTGGGTTTGAGACTGTAAAATCAGAATTAGCAAGAAAATAAAATTCAAGTAATATTCAATTTTTAATAAATATCAGCAACAAAATAAATGACTAATGAACTGTGAATTTGTAAAGTTTCCCTGAAGACAGAGCCTCAACTTTCTGATTTAATGAAACAGAGGCATTGTAGCTATAATACATTTTTAACTTGATATTATGTACCTGATCTGTTATTCAACTGTTTATGAACCCTGGACAAGAATATCTTTACCTTCTCGAGCTAAGTATGCTTTTTTCTAATTATGTCTAAAGAACTGACAGTATGGAGGTAAAAAAGAAAGGCCCTTCTGCATACAGTTGCCCGAGTTTAATAAGAAAAGATTGTGATTTTAAAAACGACATGCTTTCTTGATCCTTCAGACCTGGAATTCATGCCTTGTTGCACATCAGCAATAAAAAGAAACTCAGAAAATTTCAGTTCATTTCAGATCTCTTTTAGCCTCAAGTCAATCAAACCTACTCAGGCAAGTTCTCTTTTGGTGGAAGAACTTCTCTGATGTAACCGGAACTTGGTTTGCCTTGATTCTGAGTTTAGTAAATCCAACCTAGTAAGTTACCTTTAAAAAATTCTAGCAAAGAATGCATTTTATCTATTTCTTTATATATAGAGTTCTTTTCATTGATTATAAGCTCAAACTTCTTTCTGTTCTGGAGGAAAAGTCACATTCTTACTATAACATGCCTGGAGAAACAATATTCTGGATCTGGTTCTTAGTGCCTAATGTTCACTGTGACATCACAAATAATCCAAATAAAGTTGGGATAGTATCAGGAAGAGGCTCCTCAGCTAATAAAATGTGATATTCAAAACTGCAGTAGAAAAGTTTTCCTTACCGCCTGCTGGCAGTTCATTCCAAGGTTCCCTTTCTCCCCTCGAACTACTTTCATCAGACAATGCAGGGTTCGCCCTTTTCGATGTAACCCAGAACAGTGGTGTTCAATCTCGCCCCGACAGCTCAGGATGATCTCAGGGCTCAGAGAAAAGTCTTCCATCAACATGCGTCGGTAATCCAACATCTCCCCCTGGCACTCACTGCTCACCTGTCGCCCTAAGTTAGGATTTAAGCCATAGCATTACGGTGAGCATTAGGATTGAATATTAACCACATAGGAAAAGTGTACATTTCCCCCTAGAATATAATATACCAGTCATGCTATTGTCTAGGCTGAGCAGCTCAGAATTTAGCAAAAGCATTATCAGCATAAAATGAGTTTAAAACTTCAGAGACTAGGTTTTATCTTGTTAGTGTTCTGCATTATACAGGTTTTATACTATTAAACTAATAACGGAAATGTTTTGCCAATGAATTATTAAAAAATATTTTATTTCAGAGAGAGGGGAAGGGAGGGAGAAAGAAAGGGAGAAAAACACTGATCAGGTGCCTCTTGCATGCCCCTAGAGACCTGGCCTGCAACCCGAACGTATGTCCCAACTGGGAATCAAACCAGCGACGTTCTGGTTTGTAGGATGACGTTGAACCCACTGAGCCACACCAGCGCGGGCACCAATGAATATCTTATCAATAAGGTAACTATTTGGGTAAAAATGAAGGTCAAGAACAATATCTACTGGCCCATACAGTTAAAGCTTGTGGAACAGATTACACTTCAGATATTCACTATAGCTTACCATCTCCCTTCAGCTAGAAATGCCAACTGGAAAAACTTAAGAAATGTTTTTAAAACACAGCTTTACGGAGGTATAATTGACCTCTAATCAACTACACTTTTAAAGCATGTAACTGGGTAGGTATGACATATGTAGTCCAGAAAGAATCCAGCCATGTACTATGCAAAATAGAGGCATTTATTGAAGAAGATACATTATACAAAAAACAGCTCTGACCGGTGTGGCTCCGTTGGTTGGGCATCGTCCCACAAAGGTCACCAGATCGATTCCTAGTTAGGGCACTTGCCTGGGTTGCGGGCCCATTCACTGGTTGGGGGCATGAGAGAGGCAATCTATCAATGTTTCTCCCACACACTGATGTTTCTCCCCCCCTTTCTCCTTTCCTTCCTTTCTCTCTAAAAATAAATAAGTGAATCTTAAAAAAACAAAAAATATCAAAAGACATTGTCCATAGGACAATGGTGCCTCAACTGCCTTCAAAGTAGGCACCCTGGGACCTCACACAGTTCTCCCAATTGCCATTAGCTGCCCTGTCATATTTTCCTGAATCCCATCAATGGTCTGAAATTTCTTCCCTTTCAAAGATGATTTTAGTTTTGGGAAAAGCCAGAAGTTGCAGGCATCAAATCTGGGCTGTAGGGGGGCTGAGTCATCTGGATGATTTGATGTTTCACCAAAAAACTCTGCATGAGATGTGATCCATGAGCGGGCATGTTGTTGTGATGAAGCTGCCAATCACCGGTTGCCCATAGCCGCGGCCTTTTGAATCATCTAAATAGTTCCCAGAGAGGAATGTTCAAGCGTAACGCAAAATTTGATGCAAATTCGTTGCTCTACTTGCTCATTTTGAATGCAATGGCTATACAGTACCCATATTCACTCAATGGTGTCTACCACCCCCACTGACTAGTACAGTGAAGTCATCACTGTTCACGCATGGACATTCCAGTCCACTCTCCTTGTCTGCCAGGTTACATCAATGCTGCGCAAACCATTCCTGTTATATTAACAACGGTTGGACTTTTTTCCAGAAAGACCTTACACACACACACACACACACACACACACACACACACACACACACACACACTGGTGAAACCATCATCACAATCAAGATACTGAACATTTCCATCAACTCCAAAAGTTTCCTTATGCTCCTTTAGAATCCCTTCCTTCCTTTCCTCTCACTCCACCCACCCCATCACCAGTCAACCACTGATTTGCTTTCTGTGACTATAGATACATTGCTGGGTCATATGGGAGATGTATGTTTAACATTTTAAGAAACTGGCAAGCTATTTTCCAAAGTGGTTGTACCACTTTAAGTCCCCATCCGCAATGTACAATAGTTCTAGTTTTTCCACACCCTTGTCAAACCTTAGTAAGATCGGTCTCTTGTCAAAACAGTAAGATCAGTTTTTTTTTTTTTTTGTTTTTTTTTTAAGCAATCTGTAAAATGTCTCTGAATTATCTGTTCATATCCTTTGGTCATCTATTTACTGAGTCTTTTTTGTGTTTCTTGTCAATTTGCAGTTTAAGGACATTAACTCTATTTTTCAAATATCAAAATTAGATTACATTAAGCATATTGTTTTATAATATGCTTTTACTAGTCAATAATGTCTACCTTTCCATTTTAGAAAAATTTCACCTAATACCCAGACCATAATCGACATTCCCCAATTGTCTCCAAAATGTGTTTTGTTTGGTATTCAGTCCAAGGCCATGCATTGTCTCTAGTTACTATTCATTGCCTTCAAACATCCAGATATAAAAAAAATTCACCAAAAAGTTTTATTTAATGATTGATTTTTTTTCCACTTAACTTTTTAATCACTAACCAACTGTTGAAACACTATTTATTCAGTAAGAGGTAGACATGTCATTTTTGCAGCCTATAGCCATATTAAGAAAGATAACCCTGGCCTTCTATACATCTTTTTTGGTTCCTTTGTTAGGACCGAACTTTTGAACTAAGCAGGCAATGAGTCTGACTCCACGGAGGTAATTCTTTCATCTATTGATGTTTAATTTCTTTAAAAGTTCTTTTTCCTTTTTTAATCCTCACCAAAGGATATATTTATTGATTTTAGACGGAGAGGAAGGGGGCGAGGAGAGAGAAATACTGATGTGAGAGAGAAACACTGATTGGTTGCCTCCTATTTGATCCCTGACCAAGGACTGAACCCATAACCCAAATATGTGCCCTGACCAGGGATGTACCCACAACCTTTTGGTGTACAGGACGACACTCCAATGAACTGAGCCACCCAACCAGGGCTATTGTTTAATTTCTTAACACCCTTATTGTTTTTTTTTTTTTTTAAAGATTTTATTATTTTTAGAGGGAGAAAGAGAAGGAGAGAAACATCAGAGTGTGGTTGCCTCTCACATGCCCCCTACTGGGGACCTGGCCCACAACCCAAGCATGTGCCGGGACTGGGAATCAAACCAGCGACACTTTGGTTCCCAGGCCGGCACTCAGTCCACTGAGCCACACCAGCTAGGGCTTAACATCGTTAGTGTTAATAATAATAGCATTACCTATCACTCATTGTATGCTAAGTACTATGCCAAATAATCTCAGTCAGTCCTCTTATGAATTCCTCAACATAGGCAATATTATTTTTATAAATAAGAATAGAGTTTTGGAGAGATTAAAAATGAAACAATGGACATCTAGCAAGTTAATTTGGTGGATAGAGCCATAACTTGAAGCCATGTCTCTCTGACCCAAAGTTCATATGCTACATCATTATACTATCCTGACTCTCCTCAAAATGCTGTATAGTACAGCGTGGGGCAAAAGTAGGCTTACAGTTGTAGCTATGCAAAATACAGTTTGTTCTTGTATTAATGTTTATTAGTTATTGTATTACTTTCCATATGAACAACTAAACCTACTTTTGCTCCACTTTGTATGTATTTTTAAAAATTAAAGTATTTGGATTTGAAAAATATACTTTACTTTGTAAAAGAAAAAGGCAAGGTGGGCCCTGATTGGTGTGGCTCAGTTAGCCGAGTGTCACACTGCGAAGCAAACAGTTGCTGGTCTGATTCCCAGTCAGGGCACATGCCTGGGTTTCAGGTTTGGTCCTGGGTCAGGGTGCATTAGAGAGGCAAACGAACGATGTTTCTTGCCCTCTCTTTCTCCCTCCCTTCTTCTCTCTCTAAAAATAAATAAATAATATATGTATATTTTTTAAAGGCAAGCTGGGATATAAAGAAAAATAAAATTGGAGATTGTTGAGCTAAGAGGAAGGGCCTTCGACAAGGTGTAGAGGTACCAACTCTTCAGTTCCTAGAATCATGCTTACAAAGAAAGACTCTTAAGTAACAAGGCGTAACTGTACTCAAAAGAGCAAATACAGGTGAAAAGTAACAAACAGTACAAGACGTTTTAGAATGTGAACCCAAAAAGGATAAAAGGAAATAAACTCTCACCTCTATGCACAGCTGACTCCAGACACATCAGAAGGTAGGAGAGCCTGGCTTCCCGGGACCGGGGAAGGTTTTCTACATTGCATCGGTATTTTTTTAAGTCACTCTTACAGGATTTGGCCAAAGAATAACTGACCTTGTAATCCTGGGCAATCAGTTTTTGGCGGGTTGTTAGTGCTTCTCGACACTGAGTAAAGAATGTGGTGAGAGCGTTATAAGACTGCTGAGGTGGTCCAACTGTTCACATGTATTCATGGCCAAGTTCATTATCAACAACTGCAGTTGTTACCAAAATGTCTGTCTTTAAATTTGCTTAAAATTGAACACAAGCATGCTAAAGTAGCGTGGCAAGAGGCAGAGGTAAATAGATGGGGTGCCGTGGAATTCCACAGTAAATTGCTGATTGGTGCTGCAATACCAGCTGCTCCAAATACATACATATTTGGTAGATTCTAATACATGGATTTGACAAAGTATTCTTTTGCACTTCAACAATATTCCTAAAGAATTTCACCAAAATCAAAGTGGCAACTAACATAGTAACTCTGGAAGTTCCATTCCATACTTTTTAAATAGAATTACGCAATAGTAAAGGAACCGAAATGAAAAACATTTCTTCACCTGGTTAGGAAAGTAAATGACAGGATTAAAAAACAAAAATAATTACTTATAGAAGTTATAAAAAAAGATTCTTACATTCATACAGGAATAGAGGACTAACAGTGATGAGAATGCTTAATGAGACATCTGCTGAAAAATTAAGTAGCTAATTAGCTATGACGCACATTGGTTTGGTTAGCCTAAACTTCCTGAGAACGTAGGACTGGGTTCAGTGTGATTCTGACATAAAATTCTCCAATTTTACTCCCCAAACTGATTTTCAATTGGCTTCCCAATGTCCAGATGTCACAATTAAAGCTCCTTTTTCTTGGCCTAAGAAAAATATGCTTTGCTTCCTTCCTAAAAGCCAAGTATCTTACCTCTGAAAATGGTTAAGCTTTATCAGTCATTTACTTTGGTATCAGTTTATGAAAATATTTGAAATGATTTGAGAAAGCTTTTAGAAATGAATAAAATATTGGTTTATTTTAAAGTAATACTTACCTTTTCACTCATGGATTCTTCAAATTTGTGGTTGAAGAGGCACTTATATACTCTGCCTTCACCAGCTTGTGTCTATAAAATGAAACATACCCATTATCCTGGACATTATCCATAATCCTATACATACAACTTTCTGTTGAATTAATCTAATATTAGTACCTTTGAACAAATGGCTCAGCCATCTATACAATTCAGTAGCCTTTGAAAGAAAACAGTGCCTGTAGTAAAGATGAAACATTTTTCCCCATAATGTCTGACTATTTTTTTTTATTCCCAGATATACTGTTAATCAGGAAATCAAGAGAAATGTCAGTCTCCCTTTTTACAACATAAAACTCTTATAATTAGTGGCTTTGATGATTAAAGCTGTTAAATCAAAACAGCAGGCAGAGTGGGAGTATACACAACTCATATTCAATTGTTTGTTGTAAAGATGGAAGTTATTTAAAGTGTTAGAAAGTTGTTCTATAGGGTCTGGGGGTAGTAATCAGGGATTTGGTTTTAAATACTAATGACCTGTTTGTTTTTTTCTTCATCTTAGCCACAAATGTATAAATATAACTATGTAACATGGCCAACTATTAGCCATGGGATAGATGTGAACTGGATTCCCTGGTAAACAGGATTTCTAGTGATAAAATAGACTCACAAGAACTGAAACTGAGATGTTAGATAAAGTAGGAAAAAAACCAATGTGTGTAGATTGTCAGAGGCCAAATGGCAAACAGATGTTAAATCAAATCTGAGCATCCATTATCAACTTCTTTTATCCTAAGACCAACTCTACCTTTCATTTCCAGTAGCTTTTCTGCATGTGAGGTATGTGTTGGGTTTTTTTGTAATTGAGTATTTAAAAATACTTTTTAAAAAAAGGGAGAAAAGAAGAGTTTCTGAAGTAACTTACATTTTCACAAAAACGCTCCCGATCATCTCGGCAAGCGAAGTACAAATGCCGGTCTAAGTGAAAGTCATCCGAGGACAGCTCGGCCACCCGGAGAATGGCTTTCTTGCAGAGCTCAGAGACTTGAATCTTTGGATCTCTTTCTTCTGCTTCCTTCACCAGGCCTTTCTCCAGGCATGATACCACTTCACCTTGTGAATGTGCATCCTAAAACAGTAAGGATAGTATTTTAAAGCTCTCACCACAATGACTTTCAAATAAACATCATTTGGTTAGAAAAAACAGACAAACAATACACAGTTAGCCTATTGGTGTAATATTAAGAAATCAGGTGGGAACCAGTCATACTCTAGAAGTTACAGAAAATGTCCTCAATGATCTTTGGTTAGAATGTAATACTTACATGGTACAAATGGAAATAGATATCCTGGGAAATTAAGTATGGGTTAGTTAGTACTAGAAATAGGAACCCAAGTTCTTAAAGTTTAAAATGTCAGAAACATTGAAAGAATTACATCAGCCTAATGCTCTAATCATAGCTCATGTTTGTACTGAAATAACATTGCAGAAATCTCTATTCATTAATCTCTGAAGGGCTATTTCCCAAGTAATAGTGCTCTTAATCAAGTTAGAAAAAACAAACCACAAAATCCATTGAGAAAAAATATTATAGAGACCTCGTTTCTCCTTTTTTGTGCTCTACACTGTCCACAAAGACACATATATGTACAGTCTGTAGTCTAATATTCACTGGGGTGTTTTGGATTTATCTTAATGTGATTTTAATGAGATTACTGTTTATACAATTTTTTAATACTTTTTAAAGTTGATTAGGCTATTAGTCCCAGTTTTTCCCCTTTGCACCCCCGCACCCAGCATCCCTCACCCCCTCAGGCAATCCCCACCACCGTTCATGTCCATGGGCCATGCGTATAGGTTCTTTGGCTACTCCATTTCCTACACTGTACTTTACATCCCCATGGCTATTTTGTAACTACCTATTTGTACTTAGTCCCCTCACCTTTTCATCACTCCCCTACGTGGGAGAGATTTAACCCCTTCCCATCTGGCAATCATCCAAATGTTCAATGTATCCAGACTTCTGTCTCTGTTCTTGTTTGCTTAATTTGTTTTTTAGATTCAACTGTTGATATATATATATTTATTGCCATTTTATTGTTGAGTTTTGATCTTCTTTTTCTTAAATAAGTCCTTTTAACATTTCATATAATAATAAAGGAGATGACGATGAACTCCTTTAGTTTCTTCTTCTCTGGGAAGCTCTTTATCTGACCTTTCATTCCAAATGATAGTTTTGCTGGGTAGAGTAATCTTGAGTCCCTACTTTTCATGACTGGTATTTCTTGCCAATCCCTTCTAGCCTGCAAAGTTTCTTTTGAGAAATCAACTGAGAGTCTTATGGGAACTCCCCTGTAGATAATTAACTGCTTTTTTCTTGCTGCTTTTAAGAGTCTCTCTTTATCTTTAACCTCTGGCATCTCAATTATGATGTGTCTTGGAGTGAGACTCTGCATCCATCCTTTGTGGGACTTCCCTGTGCTTCCTGGACTTGCATGTCTATTTCCCTCAACAAATTAGGAAATTTTTCTTTCATTATTTTTTCAAATAGATTTCCAATTTCTTGTTTTTTCTCTTCTTCTAGCACTCCTATGATGTGAATGTTGGAACACTTAAGGTTGTCCCAGAGGCTCCTTACACTATCCTCATTTGTTTTTAATTCCTTTTTCTTTTTGTTGTCCTGATTGCTTGTTTTTTACTTCCTTTTGTTTCAAATCATTGACTTTATTCTGGCTTCCCTTTCTCTACTGCTGTTTCCCTATAATTGTTCTTTATTTCAATCAGTGTATCCTTCGTTTCTGATTGGATTTTTATGCCATTGAGGTCCTCACTAAGTTCCTTGAGCATCCTTATAACCAGTGTTTTGAACTCTGTATCTGATAGATTGCTTATCTCCGTTCCATTTAGCTCTTTTTCTGGAGTTTTGATTTGTTCCTCATGTGGGCCATGTTTCTTTGTCTCCTCATTTTGGCAGCCTCCCTGTGTTTGTTTCTGTGTATTAGGTAGAGTTGCTATGACTCCCTGTCTTGGTAGCAAGGCCTAATGTAGTAGGTGTCTTGTAGGGTCCAGTGGCACAGCCTCCTCTATCATACAAGCTGGGTACTTGAGGTGCGCCCTTTGTGTGGGCTGAGTATACCCATCCTTTATAGTTGAGCCTTGACTGCTGTTGGCAGGTCTATGGGAGAGATTTATCCAGATTAGGCAGCTGCAAGGACTGGCTATGACCACTGACCACCAATCTCTGCCCTCTGCGGAAGATCAGCTGTTCAGGAGAGGGTGGTGGTGCTCCAACATGGTCGGCAGCTGTCCACTGGGTGTGCAGGTTCTGGGGTTTCCCAGGTGGTGAAGACCAAGGTCAGCACCCTCCTGTGTTCTGTCCTGGGCAACCCTGCATGAACTATAAAGCAATCTGAGATGGGTGCTACTTGTGCTGGGCTAGAAGATTCCCAGGTGAAGCCAAGCTCTGAATCTAGGTTGGTTGCTGCTAGTGTCATGACTGGGACCACTTAGTAAGAGGTATGGGAGCTCTGGGGCTTAGGAGTTCAGGGGCTTGAGGGCTCAGGAGCTTGAGGTTTACTGAAGCTGGCTGTTGCTTGTTTGATAGGATTTTGGAAGTTGTGAAGCATTAGCCAAGACCAGCCATCCATATGGAAAAGTCACAGTTAACAGCTTGGGTGGGCCCATAATTTGGGGTGGGATGAAGTCTCAGGGGGTCTCCAGTGTTAGCTAAGTTGATGGAGTTACTGATATGGCACTTGTCCACTGGCTCTGTGGCCGGAAGCCTCAGTAAAGGGACAATGGCCTCTGTCTGCCTTTCTGTCTGGGAAAAAGCTGTCCCCAGCTCTTACCTTGATGTCAGATCCTTCAATTCCTCCCTGTATGCCACTGGTGTCTTCCAAGCTGCTACCTTGGTGCTGAGCTCCGAGAGAGTGAATCTGAGTAAGTCCGTGCATGGGTTTTTTAAGGGGAACTGCTTAGGACTCAAGAAGTTTCTTCCACTGACTCAATCCTCGCTGGTTTTTGCACCAGAAGTTATGAGGACTTACCTTCCTGACACTGGAACCTTAGGCTGGGAGGCTTGGTGCGGGGCTAGGACTCCTCACTGCAAAAACATCCCTCCCGAATTTTTATCCTTCCACACATGGATGTGGGACCAGCCTGTTCCACATTTCCGCCCCTCTCACCCGTCTGGATAGATGTGTTTTCTTTAATTTTGTAGTTGTCAGGCTTTCATTCAACTTGATTTCTGACGGTTCTGAGTGATGGTTGTTCTATAGTTCAGCTGTAATCTTGATGTGGTTATGTGAGGAGTCAAACTGAGTCTACCTAGGCCGCCATCTTGATCAGAAGTATTAATGCCTTTGAGAGCTTTCCTAAAACCATCCAATTATGTTTAACAGTACATTAAGATATGCTGCAATAACTTGAGAGGTAAAACTATTAATAGAGCAAGACAAAGCAGCAGAAAATATAGTGCTATCATTTATTTACATACACACACACAGAGAAGCTTGTTAAAGTAAGATACCATGTGTATGGAATAATCTATACATAATAAAAAGATTCCTAAAACCAGATAGGGAAACATCTACTTTAAGGGAAGTTTCAATTCAGTAAAAGAAGTATAGTTTTTTCTATTTTTTTGTAACAGAGTTTGTTCTATAGCATACCACTTTCCAAGTAGTTCCAGGAAAATGTTCATGTTTTCTCCTAACATATCTGTTAAGTGGGGATAACAGTGGTGGCATTTATTGTGCGGGTGAGCAAACAGAGGCTTAAGAGGTGTCAATCAACTCATCTGAGTCGCTAATTGTAACATACCTAGCTAAGACCTTGGGGTTCTAGGAACCTCCTAAAATTTGTTGGTGGGTTTTGTATATCTTTTCCCAAGGAAAATTCATAGCTTTCATTAAATCTGAAAAGGTTTGCTGACCCCAAAGATTAGGAAGCACAGTATAATAGCAGATTCTCATGTCTTAACCTTTTCTTCTAGCTGTATAATTCTATCTAATGCTTGCAAATCTTAGATGACCAAAAAGTTTTTTTGGAGAGTAATACTAAGCGGGCAAAACTCTCAGGGACAACTGACAAAAAGAAGATGACACAGAGAAAAGTGGACACAAACTCCAGAAATCCAGAGTAAGGCTTATTTTTCCTTCCTCATTTATGAGTGATATTCAAGTCTGTCTATGACCTCTTAGGAAGGTCTACTTATTTCCACTTCCCACAGGAAAAACAAACCTATGATAAGAGATTTGAATAGAAATATTCCAGTTACTTATTCACAGTATATGAGATTATTATAAACATGGTTTTATTTTATAAAAATATATCCTATATGAAATTTTAGTAGCCCGTAATAACTTACTTAGATGGTTGCTAACAATTAGGTCTTAATCACATAAAAGAGGTTGAAAATAAGAGCATGATAGTCGAACTTGATTTAGACGCATTGTTTGGTCCTGGCGTCATGGGGTGAAAAAATGACTTCCATGTAATGAGTCAAAATACTTCCCTATATACTTAGGATTTATAACTGTTTTAAAAGTACCAATAGTAAGATTAACTAGGGCTATTATATTTTTTAATAGTTCCATTAGCTTCTTATTGGATCTAAGAAGGCATCGTTGTGTTTGAGACCCCCTAAGGAACCTGAGATTTAATTTTAATTATAGCAACTGTAGCACCACACATTGGCATTGGGCCATAACATGACCTCCATTAGATGTTTTCATTCATTGTAATTTTAGATATTTTTTCAAATAAAGATATTTCAGGAACTCTTCTCAGCTCCCTGGAGTCTCTGAGCTTTTCACTTCAGCCCATTTGAGTTATATAATGTATGCAAATATTTGATAAAGAAAATTGTATGGCTAATTACTGAATATAAATGAAAGCAAGGGAGGTGAACTATATACTGGTACATTATCTACAAGAAATAAAATGACTTCAGTTAAAAAATGTTAAGTTATTAATATAGAGGCTTGACATATGAATAACAAATGATTCTGTAAATGGACTTACAATGAGTTTTTAAAATTCTATTATGATGAGACAAATGTCTTAAAACTATTCCTAGTGTTCTGATTAGTTTTTAGCAGTTTGCTAAGTAATGTTTTTTCCCTCCCTCATATATTATGTTCCTGCTGCCCTCCTTTAAGAACAGAGAAGGATAACACTAAACTAATCTTCAAAAAGGTAGGCAAGAACTCAGTTTTCATCTCTGCTATAAATTCTCTATTTCAATATTTGTGGTATCTTCTGTGATCTATATTACTACACAATGAGAAAAAGAATGTCTGAAATATTCAAAGTAGTTGGTTAAAAGCAGGCAATGATAAAATGATATAAATACTGAGTGAAAAGTATAAAAGTAGTAATAATATGGCACATGTCCATATTAAGTTCCTTTATTGAATGCCTCATCCTATTTTCTCTTCAGATGATGTAAATCATTTACACTTTTACTTTTGGAGATTTGCACTTACATTTTAACAATATTTATTTAGAAAAGTCTAAAGAGCTTATTAATATATAGCCTTTGTTCTACATTTTATATATAGTAACATTTTGAAAAAAATCATCATAGTTTTGAAATCATGACATCTATATGTTCATATAGAGGAGGGTTCAAACAGGTTAACCATGACCCTTTCTCCTCTGACCTTTGAAGTAGGTCCATTCAAAGCCAAAGAGGAGTTTGCAAGCTACAGTGCAACAAATTTGAAATTGATGAGCTTGTTTTTTTCTGTGGTCAGAAGCTGACTCATTAATTTTCCAGGATAATCTTCCTATCTAAATAACTACCTACACAGAAGTAAACGACAGTTAACAAAAGCCAAGAAGGGATGAGGACATGCTTCCTCATTTTTAAATTTGGCTGTAGCACCAGAGCGGTTTATATAGGAAGGAACACGCTTTCAAAAGTGCAGGCATGAGTCACGTTACTGTGCTCAAAATACAATAAAGCCTTTGATGCCAGAGTTGGGGTGCCTGGTATAAACAGAAATTCACCTAACTGGTATGTATAACAAAAGATAAAAATGACCAAAATATGCATGTTGATGGGCCACAGAAACATCTTTTGTTATTTTAACAAAGCCGAAAACAACCCTCACTGTCATGTGTCTTTGGGCTCTGGCTCTACTATTTTGTGCAATCATTTCGGTCACTGCAGACTTAACTCTTACCTGCAGCGGAAAGCAGGTTTTACAGCGGCGATTCAGACTGCTAGTGGGAGGCTAACGAGAGGTCCTCTTGGCAGCCATCAGTGAAGAACTACTACAAAGATAGGTACCTGTAATGGTCCACTCTGCATGAAAAAGTTCGTCACTGAGTCTTGAAAGTGTATCTGGAACACTTATGTGGAGATTTTACAAAGAGGGCTGGAATTGAATATAATCTCCAATACCCTAAATAAACCAGCGGAGCTTCCTGAATTATCAGGGCGACTTAAGTGTTTTTGTGCCATTTCTAGAATCTGCTGGGAAGGAAAAAAATCAGGCTTCTTTATTAAAACTCATCCTTATTTAGCTGCCTGAAAGCTGTATGCCAAGTTCCTAGGGCTCTTAAGAGAGACTCAGAGGTGCCCTGTGAGAGAGCCAGAGCCCGTGCTGGCCTGAAGGGAAGGGGACTAGGAGACAGCCAGACGATAACCAGCACTAACACCTGCACTTGAACCGGCGTGTGCAGTGTGCAGTTTTCGCACACAATACCATGCCCTCTTTCCTCCGTGACGGAAAACCGCAAAGCACAGTGCAAAGAAAACACTAGGAGCAAAGAGACAAATGGATTTTATTTTTCTTCACATTTCCTAAACAGCAGACTAACGAACAGTGGCAATTAAGAGCTGAGGCCACATGCAGCCCCCCAGGCTGGCGCTCCCACTGGCACCTGTTACTTCTCAGGAGTTTCTTTCATTTTTTTTGAACAAATTCAGAATAAATCTGGTTAAACCTCCACTGTGACCTTAACAACAGACTAATAAGGAAAAAAATGATATCAAATATAATTAAGGAAGAAGAAACGAGGTAGGCAGTTATTTTCCTTCTTGTCTTTACTAAAACTAGTTCTGAGATGAAGGTAATAGATCACATTTCTTCTGACAAGCTAGAAGTACTTTCATGTATCTTAACATTTTCTAATATTTAAATATCTTCTTTTGTACTAGTGTACTGAATGGTTTTTTTTTTTTTTTAATGGCAACAGTGAGGTATATGCAGAGAAAGTTTTGAGAACTCAAGTCTCTCCTAAACCAACTACTGTTCCTACAAGACTACAAAATGTTTCTGCCAGAAAATGTTACAGGTAACCAGCAAGTGTTTTAGTATTTTGAAGATAATATTACTTGTAGTAGATATTAATTCCTCCCCTTCTCCTTATTTTTGGAATACTTTGTCACAAACAGATGAAATGCACTCCACTAACCTTACATCTTGGGGCTGTCTGAGACTTCAACTTTGAGGCCACCTCCAGCACTACATTTTTTTCCATGCCAGTTAAACAATGCTTTTCATTTATCGAGTTCATAAGACTCCTTTGGTAAAGCCAGTGTAGTACCTACCTTTTCTCCAAGCCGAATGCTGCCACATTTCAGAAGGTTGATGTCATTTTTGCAGTCATCCATGAAGCCACAAATGAGACGGTAATCACTGAAAATGATGGCCGTCATCTTGGTGATGTATTGGTGACACTGGTACTCAGTGATGTTGCCTCGGTGATCCACCAAGCAGGAAACCAAGTAACCTTTTCCTACTGGTTCATCAGCACATTCTTTAATCTGCTCAAAACATAGTGGCTGTTTTACAAAAGCATTCTATTCTCACAACAAACAATTTTTAAAAAGATTTTATTTTAATTTATTTTTAGAGAGAGGGGAAGGGAGGGAGGAAGAGAGGGGAAGAAATATAAATGTGAGAAAGAAACATTGATCAGATGCCTCTTGAATGACCAAACTCGCAACCCAGGCATGTGCCCTGACTGGGAATTGAATTGGCAACCTTTTGCTTTGCAGGATGATGCCCAACTGAGCCACATCAGTCACGGCTCACATCAAACAACTTTTATAAAAGAACGCCTGATATTTTCATATCATAGTGTGTCATGCCTACTCAGATTATTGTGCTCTCCAGGAAATACCTGATTAATGTGTTTTGCAAGAAAATACATACACATATATACATCTCTCTACACAAATGCTAGATAGAGCTCATGTCCTATCTAGTCATGGAGTGAAAAAAGCTGTTAAAATTTTCAGCTTTATTGAGATATAATTAAAAAGAGCTTTTAATATTCTAAATGGTTCTACTGAGAAGTTCCTTTATGTATGCAAAGAATGCAATGGATAGTGAGGAGATTAATCTAGAGAACAGGAGAACAGGTCTGGAAAACGTGCAGAACTGAAGTCAGGTTGCAGGTCAAGTTAGACAGCAAACTATTGTTGTTAAGTAAATCTAATGGCCAAGGGGAGGGAAGAAAGGCATAATATTACTCTTGACATGACATTAATGTGTTCTGAATTAACTATAAATATGGACATGTGTTTTTGAGCTTAGTAAAATCTCAGCTTCACCACTGTGGTCTGGAACAGAATCATGTTTAAAATGATGCTCAGTGCAGTCTGGCTAGAAGTTTGGGAAGGGGAAGACCACTGCAAATGTAATTTGCGTGGTTTTGACAAGTGGATCAAGCAAACAGTGATTCCACATGGTTAGTGGTTCTGCAAAGTGCATGCAAAACCACAAGTACTAATGAAGCAAACTAGCCAAAACAAAGCTAAAATTCAGGCATAAAAAAGTGGAATCTACTTATAGGGTTACAAGCCTGGATTACAAAGCAAAGAAGGTTGTTTGGAAAAAGCCTACTGCATTTAGAGAAATTAAAAACAAACAAAAATGGCAGTTTTGACAAGAGAAAGAAACCAAATGTAAATATTTATACTGAATATAAATGAGAAGGGAATTTTTTGGTTTTACTGGTTCTTTGAAACCAGTGGAGACTATTCTTCACTATTACATCACTTAATGTAAATGTGTATATAGGGCAAAACAAACACCATCTCTTTCCCAGAAGGTGCTGGGTGAAGGACATACCACACATTATCCTACAGGCCACTGGATCTCTTTATGTCTAACTCTGCACTAAGTCAAAGACTCAGTTCAGGACAGAAAATTGTGTTTACTTTTAAAGAAGCAAACTTTGGAATTTAAGTAAATAGTCTCACGTTGGCTTCAAGAGGCATGGATCTTCAACAGTTAAGATGAATGCAATTCTTTCAGCCTAACCTTGAGCTCTTTTTTTTGTGATGATGAAAAAGTCAGCCATGAATATTATTCCCAAGAAAAAGGAAATTTGGTGGGGGGGGGCAAACCAGAGTTCAGTTTCAAAAGTAAAAGGAGAAATAACTCCTTGAAAATTTCAGCGTTTGGCAGACACTTGGGTTTGAAAAATTAATGAAGTAGAAAATTTCAGATAGATTCTAATACTGGGGAACCAGCAGTTTAAAAATCTGAAGAAAACACAAGACCATAATTTCAATTCGAGCCCCCATAAGAAATTTAGTGTATATTTACTTCTAATCACTTGAGCTTTTATTGAAACACAGAGAGGTAACACCTATTTGTATTTCAGTTCACCATCAATTATAATAGGATGCATAGTGTTTGAATCAAAAGTTTATCCTTTTCTTCAACCATTCTATTGGACAGAAGTTTACTATGACAGAAAGAAAATTTCTAGGATTAATAGCAAAAAACAGCATTAAATCATCAAAACATTCATGAATGGGAGTAAACTCTGAAGTGGCAGGGGGCAGATCAACTCTATTTTCGACATGAAGGCAGGAGAAAAGCCAGCAGTATCTGGTTCAACCATGGAAGAGTATATAGAAAGTTTGGTTTGCAGTTTGCAGTTTGCAGGTATTCGTGTGTTGTTTCCTCCTCAGAGGCTGGATTCCAAAATTAAGAAAGAAGATGGGAGAGAGATGTAGAATATAGTATTTAGTTGGCAAACTATGATTTTCCTGATATTTAATTTTCCTGATTCCGGTATAATCTCCTTCTAGGAAGGGAGAGGTGCCCTTATTACTTGAATCTTTTACAGGATCACAACACTCCAAAATGTTACAAGGCCATCATTACATGCATTATAAGGAAGTCAGTGTGTGTGAGTTTATCATTCCATATATATATGGTGTCCAAAGTATGTTTTATTTATATATGTATAAATAAAATAAGCAAAGAGTGAAATTATTCTGATGAATCTGCATGTATTCTAAGCTAAATTTCCACATGGCAATGAAACTGGCAAGTACAGCTAGTCATATAGCTAGCCAAGGGAGTTTGAAGAAGTAGAATACTGAAGCTAGTAGCTAAAGATCAATGTTTCAAAGATATGCTATTCTATTCTGAAGCCTGAGGGTATATATAAAGAGGAGTCACTGCCATAAAAGAATAAAACAGCCCTGGCTGGGTGGCTCAGCTGGTTGGAGCATCATCCGTGCACCAAAAGGTTGTGGCTTCTATTCCTGGTCAGGGTACATATCTAGGTTGTGGGTTCAATCCCTGGTCAGGGTGCATACAGGAGGGAATGGATTGATGTTTCTCTCCCTCTCTCTCTTCTTCCCTTTCTAAAAATCAATAAACATATCCTCGGGTGAGGAAAAGAAAAAGAGTAAAACATATCTGATCCAAGATTAGAAGGCTTGAGGAAGAAACAAATTCTACAAGATCCCATAATGATTTAAGTGAGGATCACAAGCTGAGGGCTTATCTGGTTGGAGCAGTGTCTTCCTTGAGAGCTCAGAAGAAAATGGTCCCAACTTAAGTCATCAAATAGGGTAGTTTGAAGACAGATCTACATATTGCAAGATCTATGATTCTTAACTTCGAGGTGGAAAAATAGAAACCGTTTGCTTCGTGATTCTTACACTTTAATATATAGAAATCTGTCTTCCTGGAATTTCTATCACTGATTACAAAAAATTAAATAAAATAAAAATTTCAATACTACAATTTTTACAAACATTAGTTCTACACTAAGCCAAGAGAAATAACTGAAAAATTTCCCCAATTAGTATCCATACAATGCTACACATTTTCATTAATTATTCTGTCTTTATATTCAACATCCACTTATAACAATCTATACAATCTTTTTATACACCTTTTTAATACTAACTCCTACTTGAAGCATATGCCCCTGTGGTTCCGTTGATCCAACTCTATAGTCAAAATACTTAGAAATATTCATAAGCCTCCTGGGGAGACCATTTTTGTATGTCTCAGACATGAGCAGGCTGTAAAAGGTGTGAGTGCCGCACTGATGACAGAGGCAGTTGCATTCTCTGGGTACCGACAGAGCCTGATTGATGATCACTGTGTCTGAATCAGCAGCATCCTATTGCAAGTGCGGGTGAACGTTAACAAAAAGAAGTCTAATTATACTGCGTCGGGCCTGTCTCTCAACCACTACAGATGTGAATTCCAAGAAAAGTAAAGTAAATGAATGAGTCATTCCTCCATCAATAACTGGTCTGATAAAGAGATATAATTTTCTCTTCTATCCCATTAAATACCCACTAAATTCTTTTACAACTTACCTCTGATAAAGTAGATTTGCAAACCTCTCTGGCCACTGATTCAAATTTGGGATCCTTAGTTAGGTTCAGCTTATAATTCCATAACAACTGGGTACAAGAAATAAACAAACTAACTTCAGTTAGAATTGTATGACATTTACCATCAATTATGATAAATATAAGTGATTTATAATAAATTATGACACAAATAAATGATAGTTCATTGTAAAGAGTCAGACAAAGCATATTCACATTTTTGTTAATGAACAGAAAAGGAAAACAGAATATTGCATAGGCAAAAGGGAAAAAAGTACAGACAAAATAACACACTACCATTTAGACGTCCCTTTTTCTTTTCTTTTCTTTCTTTCTATTTTTTTTTTTACTTAAGGGTAATTTTTTTAAAGTCAAGAAAAAAATTAAAACCAAAATCCTTGGTGAAGTTTTCAGAGAAAATATTAATAGGTAGTATAAGCTAAATTCTGCTTAAGCCAAAAAGTCTAACCCAAAAGCTCAGATTTTGGGGGTTAGTCTAATTATGCATGTTAGAAAATTTCCTATAATAAAAGCTCAGAAAAACTAGTATTGAATTTAATCAAATGCTTTTTAATGTGTCTACTGCGATAACATGATTTTTCTTCTTAAAATTAATATTTCAAATATTAAATTTAACCTCAATTCTGGAGTAAAACCAATTTAGTCTTGATGTATTTCCCTTCTTATATTTTACTGGATTCAATGCGCTACTCATTTGTTCAGCATTTTTTCATCTATGGTGCATCGATGGCACTGGCCTGTGCTTCCTTTCTTGTTATATCCTTGTTAGGAGATAGTAAGGTTATGTTAACCTCATAATGAAAAAGAAAATGTTTCCACATTTCTATTCTCTGAAAGACCACTGTTATTCTTCCTTAAATTTTTGTAAAGATTAACCAATAAATCCATCTGGTCCAAGAGGTTTCTTTAGCGGGGAGATTTTTATTTACAAATTCAATTTTTAAAATAAACATTGGATTATTCAGATTTTCAACATCTTATGTTAGTTTTGGTAAGTTTGTTTTTCTAGGAATTTGTCTACTGCATCAACATTTTCTATTTCAGTGGGCAAAAAATCATTCATGACTATCGTATCTCTTCCTTAACAACATTAATTCATCCCTGAACTCCCTATTATGTGGAAAGTTATTCAATTTTAAAAATTTGTTCCATTACCTATAATGGGAAAAATTATAATGCCAACCCATGTATTAGATTGTTAGGGCTGTTATAACAAAACAGCACAAACTGAGTGGCTTAAACACAGAGATTTATTTGCTCATGGTTTTGGAGGCTAGAAGTCTGAGACAAAGGTGTTGACAGCACTGATTTCTTCCTGAGGCCTCTCTTCTTCCCTTGTAGGTGGGCATCTTCTCCTTGTATCTTCTCATGCTCTTCCTTTTGTGTCTGTGTCTTCATCTTCTCTTTTCTATGACATCAATTTTCTGTTTCCTGTATACTATTTGTCCCTATTTTCCTTTCATATCTTTCCTATTCTCTAGCCTTGGGGTTGTAAGACACAGGTCAGCTTCTTTCTGAGCTTCTCCTCTGGCAGATAGAGTCTACTGATGAATTTTGAGTTTTTTCCTAATTGTTTTTAGCTCTATAAATAATGCCATAACAAATGTCCTTTTATAAACACATTTTAATCCATTCTTTTAAGTATAACTACACATAAATTCCAAGAAGTAAGAAATGCTGGACCAAAACATATATGCATTTTAAGATGACTGCTTTATAAATACGTTTTTCTTATTTATATTCCTATTCATAGACAAGAGCAGAATTAAGTAAACTTTTTCTGCAAAGGGCCAGAAAGGAAATATTTTAGGCTTTGAAGTACCTATTAGTCACTTCTGCAACTACTAGATGACTTTATGATGACTAAATAAAACAGCTTTAAAATACAGAAATCTGAATTGTAAACTTGATAAACACAAAAACAATTATTTCATATAATAGCTGTAGAAAAATATAAGCTGAAGTACAGAAATATTATTTGGCAGAACTTGCTGGTTTCTACAGTGGAGGGGTATTTGTAAATTTACCATGGCCCTTAAGCAGGGATTATCATTCTCTTTTTAAGAGTAAGATAATTTAAAAAAATATAATGCTTCCCAGAACAACATGAAAAACGTCCTAAAACTTGTAATCACATATATAAAGCACATGTGATGAATTATGAAAAAGTCATACTTACATGATTACAATCTGAAGAAATTTCATTTTCAGGCTAAAAGGAAAGAAAAAAAAAGAGAGGATGCTTTAAAAAATCTCAAATCTCGAGTTTTCAAACACCACCAAAATAAATTCAAAACAAGAAATCTGAATATTCCGCTAAATATGTTTCCTCAATATAAGCAGTAAAATGGGGCTTATATATTTTAGATTGCTAGGGAGAAATACAACAGGAAAGTAGATGAGATATAATCCCTTCCCAATGAATAGTATAATCTGGAGAAGGGGAAAATGAAGAATGTACTAGAGACATAGCAATAGTGACCTAAGGATCCTTCAATGACACTGTAATTCTGAAAGAAAGAGGATCAGGTACAATAAGGGTGTCTTTCTTTAAAGAAAGTTAGAAATCTAAGAGAAAAACAGGCTTATAAAGGAGGGTAAAAAGGTCCATCAATAATCTAAAACTTAGTCTCCCATCCCCATTTGGGGAAGCTGGTAATGTGTACAGAGAACTTCTATGTATTATGTTTGTAACTTCTATGAGTCTATAATTTTTCAAGTCTATAATTAAAAATATAAAATAAAAAAGAGAAATTATATGTATGTGTATGTAAAAACAAGTTTTATACATACATATATAAATATACATTTTTATATATATACATGTACATATTCTCTCATGAATACATTTGTTTTCTAAAGCAAGTTATATGTACCAAAGATAAAATAAACTTTGAATTCTATGAATTAAAGGTAGACTAGGTTATGCCTAATATTGCATAGCTTTGCAATACACATTTCCTTTAATTTCCTTTCGTTTCCTTGTTCATAGTATTAAAGGAGATACAATTGTAACACTACACACCATAATAAAGCACCATTTCCTTTGAGTTTCCACAGCATTCCAACCTGTTCAAAGTGAATTCTGTGTGCCTTCTATGATATATTACCAATGTAGGTTGTAAAAAGTGTCACTTTCAAATAAAAAGGTTCTTTCTATTTAAAAGTAAGTGTAAGACAATAAAGAAAATAGTCAGCCCTGTCCACTTAGCTCAGTTGGTTAGAGTATCTTCCCGATACACCGAGCGTGTGAGTTTGATCCCTGGTTGGGGCACATGCAAGAATCAACCAATCAATGCATAACTAAGTGGAAAAACAAAATCGATGTCGCTCTCAAATAAATTAAAAAAATATTTTTTAAAGAAATACATTGGTAAATATTAACAAACTGAGCAGCCACACCTAACATCACTTCAAGAGGAAAAAAGTTTCCAGGAAACTACTGATTTCACTGCAGGATTTAGTAGGCATCAATACTAACACAAAAACTCATTTTTGTACTTACTGATAAAATATTAAAGCTGACTTTATTGGATTGCTAGGTAATTGTAAGATTATAACATAGTACTTCTGAACTTTCTCTCTACTTGTTTAAGTAACAGAAAGTATTTTAATACCTTTCCTGAGGCGCCTTTCTGCATCTCAGAAATCAACCTCCATACTGAGTTAATTTACCTTAACTCTGTTCTCTCCACTTTAGCTCCAAATGCTTAATGTATCTCTCTTAACAGTTTAATATCAAGAATGCTTTTTGTAGGGTCAGTTTTCTATTTTATATCCCTTTAATCCCTCCCTTAAATTTTTTCAATCAGCAATTCTAGTTCTTTCTCAAACAGAGCATTGAAGGCAATTAACATCACTATTATTTCTACTCATACTCATTTCTGCTAAACAGTAACTTTAGATTACAGTGGCATTCTTGAAAGAAGTTCAGAGCATTAGATAATTTTCCAAATAACATAGTCTAATAAGATGTAAGTTATCCATGGGTAAAAAGAGTTGTCATGTTTACAGTCCAAAGGGACCTATCATAGCAAATTTATGATTGTTTTAGTGCTTGTTTCCCTTGAGTGGCAGACTGAATTATTTTCCTCAGTTTTTCACTCTTTAATAGAATCTGATATCCAGATCCTTTACCCTGTAACTCTGCCCAGCCTACTGCAATGGACTGAGCACACATATACCCTGCTCCACTGATGTTCCACTGATGTTAGGCTAGGCCATTAACTTGCATTAGCTAGTGTGATTTTAGCAAGATGAAATATGAGCATAGACTTCAAACATGATTGGGTTGTCTGACTTGTACTCTTACACTCTTGAGAACGTGCCCAGGTATTACCGAATGCTTTTAAAATTTTTGAAAAGAATTTGGTATTGGAGCATTTAAGGTCTTTTTTTTAAAAAAGATTTTATTTATTTATTTTTAGAGAAGAGAAAGGGAGGGAGAGAAACATCAATTGGATGCCTCTCACACACTCCCAACCAAGGACCTGGCCCGCAACCCAGGCATGTGCCCTGACCAGGAATGGAACCAGCAACCTTTTGGTTTGCAAGATAATGCCCAAACCACTGAGCCAAACCAGTTAGGGATATTTTTAAAATTCTTGCGGCACACTGGTTTGCCGCAGAAACACTGGTTGAAAATCACTGACTGGTTCAGAAAAACAGAACAGAGACCTGCAAAACACAAAATACGAAGCAGCAGGCCCAAACAGTGGGAACATCAATAATACCAGCCCAAATTGTACAGAAAATGTCACAGTTTAGTACTCAGCCATTTTCAAGACACTAAAAGACAGAAATCTCAAGAAACAAAAACAGATGTGGGTGCCGACACAGGTGTGGTTCTCAGATTGCACCTTTCCCACGATGTCCCAATCAAATCGCTTCATTAGACACAGTATATCTATTTCCTTAAAATTGTAAATGGAGTTAGACTTGATTATCTTTACTCTTATAAGAAGAATAATATGAGGAATAAAACCCAACTGCTAAGGTAGAATAGGGCTAAGAATGTTTTTCTCTTTTGTTAACAATCATTGAAAATACTCTGAAATGATCCCAAGAAATGAACCAACAAGGACACACGGTACTGAATAATGTACACAAAAGTGTGCTCAGCATTGTTGTGGAATACAGAAGATAAGACATCCCTAACCTGGGGTAGTTTACAGTCCAGTTTCAGAGATAAAATTGTGCAATCAAGACAGTAGGCAGGAGTAGGGACTTGAGCTGCATCTACAGGATTAGACAGAAGAATGATTTCCAAAGAGGATGCAGCTCGGATGATCCCCCAGGGCTCAGAAATAAAATAGAACCTTTTTTTAAACATAAACAAAAACTCACCCTTAAGTTATAGTTTTATTTTTATGTTTATATTAAAATAATTACTATATTATAAATAACTACATTATCTACTAGGCATGTGCTTAATGATTTTTTCAAAAGATAACAACATAATCAAGATAGAGGATGAAGAGCTAAAACTTTTCTTCTCACCACTTTGGAGGCTTTACCTCCACCCCTTGAAGTCAGAGGTGAAGTGGTGGCTTCTAGCCTGTGGCAGCATCAAATCAGAAGCTCAGCTTTGTCACATTTTAGCTGCTCTCTATCACTCTGGAGATTGAAATCTGGACTTTGAAAAGAAGTGTTCCTTACATTAACTGTTTCTTCATTGGAAATAAAATAGTTGTCATTTTAACAATGAAAAACTGGGAGGATAAAATTTTATAAAAAGCTTCATAAATAATTTTCCGTTAATTTGATGATCAAATTTTGTAAAAGAGACTGCTGAGGTTGCATATGTTAGTATCAATAAAGAAACTATGATAGAGGAAAAAGAAAGAGAACACGACATATATCCCCCAACCCGACAGACACAGTGACTAAAATAGAGAAGGAACTTAGTCAATGCTGAATAAATGACACAACAATAACACTGCAAAGGAGATAAGCACTGAGTTTTGGGAAACATTCGTCTAACTCCAATAAAGAATGTGATGTGTGTCGCAGGAAACAGAGAAAGCTGCCTCTTAACTGAGCTCTCGGTGCTACATTTATTCCTTACAACATGATGAACTGTAAGATAAATGTAATGTGTTCATTTTACAGATGAAGATACTGAACTACAGAGAAACCAAGTAATGTGTCTTCTAGGCACATTCCTAGAAGACAACAAAATTGGATTTAAATAATGACAGTAAGTGGCAACATATGCTTATTGTGATGCTGTCAGCTTGACACCTCTTCCAAAAGGCTTGGTAGGTCAGGTTAAGCATAGCGATGAGAGAAGGGGCCTTTGGGAGGCACAAGAAAAAGAGAGGTAGAGAGAATAAATAGATTTCAATTGGCATGCCATAAGAATTTGTAAAACATGCAATAGCTGACTATTTAGTCAGGGGCACTGATCTCTTTTCTCCTAGATTGCCAAATTAAAAAAATGACAACAGGCAATACAACAGTAGCAGCCTAGTGTGAATGCATCAAAATTATACCTATTTTTTTTTCCAGCTTGACAAAACATTTATTTTTTTTGGTGTGCTACACAACTTTAGCAATTAGTTTATGTGTGCCATGAGATGGAAAAGGTTGAAAATCACTGCTCTAGAGAGATTTGTTTGACAGATATATGATGAATTTAGATGTAGGCAGCCCAGGTAAGAAACTGATGGAATAATTAGATCAACTAGGGATCTTTGATTAGCCCTTGAATAATCACAGCAAGTTATAAAAAACTTTGCTTAGTTTGGCTTTTCTAAATCAATCATTTAAATGTTTTGGGTATTACTGCACTTTAATCTCCTAGTTGGGTAGCCAAAGCTGAAACAGTTGATCTTAGACTTAAAACCCCTAGCCCTTCCTTTAAGAATTGGTTTTAAGGAAAGAAGCAGAATGGTGGAAGAACAGTAGACTGTAAGAAGCAGTTAACTAGAGAAGCAGTGTGATTCTGGGTGGGCCACTTCTGCAGACCCGCGGACAAGTTTTAGACTAAAACAGGGATTTCTTCTACCTAGAATCCATGAACATACTTTAGGAATGAGAATGTATTAAATCTAAATATAAACTTCTGTATGTTGAGTACATTTTTCTGACAAGAGAATCCACAGCTGTTATGATCTCAGAAAGATCTACAGACAAGAAAAGATTAGGAACACTGGTCTAAAATGGACGAGATCCTTTCTAGCTTTATGAGTCTATAAAGTAGGAGTATTT